TGATTACGATATAGCAGAGACTATGCTGATCAGACAGGCCCAATCACGATTGCTAACGGAGGACGAAAAGGAAAAATGGAATCTATATCTAGATGAAAGTGATAACTTATGGAAATTAAGGAGCCGACTGGAAAATTCAGAATTAATGGACGAAAGCAAATATCCTATATATTTACCGGATCATAATTATACTACTGATCTTATTATTTTACACAAGCATAATGAATTATATCATGCAGGTATTGCACATACGTTATCTGAATTAAGACGAAAATATTGGATACCGAAAGGAAGAGCTGCTGTAAAACGAATCATAAACCTATGCTGTTATTGCATTCGCTGGAAAGCTAAACCGTTTAAACTGCTAGCGATGCCAAGTTTACCAGAAACACGAGTAAAACGATCCAGGACCTTCGAACAAGTCGGCCTTGATTATATGGGTCCTCTTTCAGTCAAATTTAATACTGGTCTAGTCAAAAGATGGATAGCACTTTTTACGTGCTTTACTACCAGAGCAGTACATCTTGAAATGGCGGAGAATTTATCTACCGAGAATTTTTCGCATGTTTTAAGAAGATTTATCGCTCGACGTGGATATCCAAAATTAATATTAAGCGATAATGCAAGCCAATTTCAACTGGTATTCAAAATCATTATGGAAGAAAACGCTAACTTTTTGGCTACAAAGGGTATGATATGGAAAAATACTATACCAAGAGCACCATGGAGGGGTGGTGTATATGAAAGACTTATAGGACTCACAAAAAGGGCATTAAGAAGAACAATAGGAAGAAAACTTCTAAAGGAAGGAGAATTAATAACATTAATAGTTGAAATAGAAGGAATCCTTAATACCCGTCCATTAACTTATGTAGGGTTTGACGACTACAGAATCATTCGTCCAATTGATTTTATATCACCTATGGCTTCATTAGATCTACCAATAAATTATGATAGTGACCAAGATGAATATACCCCTTATACAATAAAGACTAAAGATAAATTAGTCAAGTATTGGACTACCACTCTTAACACATTAGATGTCTTTTGGAAGTTGTGGAAAGAAGAATATCTTACAAGTCTTAGAGAACGCACACAAAGGGAATTAAAATCACCTAGAATAATAGAAAAAAGAGTACCACATAAAAATGAGATAGTATTACTAAATGAACCAGAAATACCTCGTGGTGTATGGAAATTGGCAAGGATAATAAAAATTAATCGAGGATGGGAAGAATAAGGAGTACAACAATACAATTACCGAATGGAAAACAAATCGATCGATCAATAAATATGCTTTATCCTATGGAAATAGATGCTACTGAAGATAAAGAAGAAAAAGTGGAAGATGAACCAGAAGAACCCATTGCTCGACGAACCAGAAGTGCTAAAAAATCACAAACTACAATCTATGCAAAAGACAAGTCTAATCTTTTGATAAAAACTTTATCATTGATAACGATGATGTCATTAATACCAAGACAGGTATTAGCTAACAATAGCTGTAATTGGATTACTGGAGTACCCTTTAATATTCCTGAAAAATGGAATTGTGAAGAAATTATTCACAAAAATGCTACATATCACAAAGTGGATGTGTACACACGCACCCATGTAAGAATACCAGCTATAAAATGTAGCAACATTACACGGACTGTATGCACGAAAGCCTTTCTCAGAATATCGCTATCGGTAGTGTCAGACCATACGTCTACTACCGCAACTTCTTCACAATTCTGCAGATATTTAAATGTTCGAAAACAAATGAACGGAATTGGACGGACTGATTCAATCTTCTCCTAATCAATGGATAACGAATAAGGAAATACAATACTCCTATGGATGGTTAGGAGTTAACTGTCAATCAACTTCAAACTTCATATTAACTCAAGGAGAAATTCTCATCTACGATGGAAGAGGGTTAGTCTCTAACCTTGAAGATATAAAAGACTGTTCGACACAAAAGGGTGAATGCATAACGAATACTAGCATTATCATATGGAATAGCAATGATACGACCAATCATTGTTTATATCGAAAGATCGGAAGATTCAAGGCTACAAAGTATAACAACCACTTCATCATCGATGAGACAAGCATCGCTTATAATTGATAAAAATCCCCCTATATTAAACACCAAAAATTGTAGATTCACCTCGCCAATTTTAATGCAGGGCGATATAGTTATTGAACTAGACGTTGAAGATGACTCGAACTCTACTACAAAATTCAAACGAAGAGTAACAAATAAACTATTGATGATGGAAAAGTCTCCGGATAGAAAGTACGATCCTGAAAATGTAAAACTTCAATACCTTTCTGATTCACTAAGACAAGAATTCCTTCAACAACTCAAAGAAACACAGCAGAGAAGTTGCCAAAACAGAAATAACTTATTACTTTTGATCAAATAGCTATCAATCAGCAATCCTACTCTTGCCACGAAACTAATACTTCAAAGAAACGATGTGATAGCTAAAAGAATTAACGGAAATTTGATGGTGGCTCCTTGCAAATCAAAACAATCAACAATTGAAAATATCGAATTCAAAGGAGATTTAATAAGTAAGTTTGAAATTGAGAGAATTAATGCAGAATTGAAAATCCTAACTCAAACTCAAAAAACAATTAATTCAATACCACATCAAATGAAGGATGAACTCTTTTGGCAAGAAATCTCTGAAGAAGGAGAAGAAATTATCAAACAAATGGAAAAGGAATTCAATGAAATTGTTCTACCGATAGAAGAAGAATTTGAAAACGTGATAACACATTGGAAATTGATTTTTATCTGTATAATTATCGTGACAATATTAACTATTTTAGTTATTATTAAGTGTAAATTTAAATTAGTTCAATCCCTCCTTTGTAATACTTCAAAACGAAATTCAAATCAAGCTACCATTATTACTCTCCCTACAGAATCACCACACACTCAATTCATAACTAAAGAAGAAATCCCACCTATTAAACTCCGTACATTTAGCTATATACCTCAAAATCACTCTCTCAAAATAACATCTTAAAACAATTTCTCTCCCCCTTCGGGAGTGTCGCGAATTATAATTTCGCGAAAACTTCTAACCAATTTCATAGTATCATAAATCATCTCTCTTTTTAAATTGTAAACAATCCTACGGTATTCACACATGTATTTTTAATCTCTTCGTAGTAAACACCTTAAATTCTTTACACATGTGATTTTATCTTAGACACACCCAACCCTCACTCATATAAATTCAATCCTAATAAACAAAACCATAAATTATCATCATTGTCGACTACGCTCGTTTAACCAAGATCAACTCCTCCAATCTTCTTCTTTATTATAAATTTCTTCTCTTCTTTTACTGCTCTGTTTATTAATACTACGTTTGCGAAAAATAAAGACTTATTAATCCTTCTACTGTATTGCAAACAATTCGAATATCAACCAACAGACAACCTTTCACGACACGTATTTACATCCAACAATCTCCCTGCGATCAAAAACCTCTCCCAAAATTAATTAAACGATCAAATCTCCCACAACAAAAATTTGCTTCCACGACATTTTCCGTCTTTTTTATTCTGATTTTTTTAATATCGGTTGCTCACCCTTGATTAGAGTAATAGACGTGTTCTAGCTCATAGCATCAGAATTTGTTATGAAAGTTTCGTTTTTATTCGATGAAAAATTTCTTTCGAATGTACGGAAAAGCAATTAAAAAAATGCAACTTATTAAAAACTGTGCCATAATCCAATGTGATCTTCCGTTCTGTCCCTTGCAATAGGACTTGCCTATGCTATATTGGTGTATCAACATAGACCCTTCACAAATCTTCGTTCGCGAAACTATGATGTCCTTCATTTAAGACTCAAATTTCACAAAAGCTGTGAATGATTAAGAAAAACCAGATAATATAAAATGTAACGAAAAATATTTTTAGCAGAAACGTTTCCAAAAAATCATCCTGAGATTTGATACAATTCTCGTCGAATTTATAGGAAATTCGTAATAAACTGAAACTAATTTTATTTCTCCAGAATCCAAAAGAACACTGCAAAATTGATCAGAAATTTAGAACAATATAGAGTATACGACACATTTTCCTTAATTATCATTTTCAATTTTTTTATATTCATATAGTATATTGATGATAGGTATTGGGATGGTATTCTTTCGAATTGCATTTGTTCAGCTATTTTTGATTGTAGGAATTTCTCGCTAATTTCATAATATGCTGTGAAGAATGCACCTTATGTTAGGAATACGAGTGATATGCGTGTGTAAAAACAAATTTAGAATTTCTTTCTTACTGCCCTGTTTCCTTGCGAAACAAAGTCGTTTTCCTTTCTTGATAGTTCACATCGTTGACTTTTTGTCTTCGATACTGGTACATTCTCGAACCTGCGCTGATTCCGTACTGTGGGAGTCTTCAATCAATTAACTTTGTCGAGAACAAGCTCGAAATTCCACTAGAAATAATCTTTGTACCGAACAATCGAATTTAGCAAAAGATCAAGAATCAATGTATTTATATTTAAATCAATGTATTTATATTTAAGCAAATCATGTTAATCATTTATTGTAAGTTTTATTGTAATTCAAATTCCTTAAGGACTCATAGATGGTAATGTGTTAACAAATTCCCATGCTAATCTGTCATATTATCTAATGCACATCTGCTCCAATCCTTTGTTTGTTATCTAATTCCGTTTACAAAAACTATCTTTCCCATAGTCTTCCTCCTAGCTTCCATTGTATCAATCGCTTTATCTCTCCACCCTCAAATCATCCTATGTAAGGGCAATTACCACTCAACCAGCTCATCCTTCCCAGCATTGTTACCAGTCTCCCCGTTGCTTAGCTCATCCTCTTCACTAAATTGTCAAACTACTGATTGCTTGTTTGTTTTAATTACCCAAGATAAAGCACTCGACTCAATTGTGCAAGTAAACCAACCCAATTCAATCCATTCACAACACCAATCCAATCCAATACATTCACAAAAATTTTATGGTGCCACGAGCCGGGAACATGTCATCCATCATCATCAGAATCGCAGACCAAACAAAACGAAGATTGTGTGAAGTCCTCAACGAAATCAAGAGTCTGAACTTGGATTCGGTCGACCAAACGACAACAACCGACGAAACAATCCGTCTTCATCAGGAACGGAGAAGGATCACCCAAGAAAAAATCATGCATATCCAAATATACATAGAAGCGTTGGAATCGGTCAATACAGAGTGGAAACAATTCATCCAGCAGATTTCAGTCTCAACCAAAAGAAAAGAAGAAGAAGATCGATACCTTCAGATAAACGACGATGAATCAGGTATTACCAACTTAATTTTACAAGCAAAACAAACTGTAGTCATTTTAAAAATGTATCAAAATGATTCGGAGTTCATATTACAACGGCTAAATCAGTCTATGGTAAGGGAGGAAACAACTCAACCCAAGGAACCCACACAAGAGGGTAAATACCCTACAGTAAATCTCCCACAACTACCACTGCCCACATTCAGTGGGAATCCAAGACGCTGGAGGGAATTTTGGAATAGCTTTGATACAGCTATACATCAACAAGCAATTCCCGATATCCATAAACTAAACTATTTCATCTCATGTCTCAAAGGAGATGCCCTCCAAGCTATCAGAGGTTATGACATAACTCCGGAGAATTACAGTATCGTAAGAAATGTCCTCGTCGAAAAGTTTGGGCAGCCTTACGCCATCAAACGAGCCTTGTTCACCGAATTATACTCCATCAAAAAGAACGATAGAGAGTGGAAAGCAACGCTTGAGGCCATTGAGCGAACACTTCGACAATTGGAGGCCATCGGTGAGAATTTAGAGCAGTCCGGTATCGAAATAGCTGTGGAAGGGAAATTGCCAACCTGGATCCTAGAACAGGTTTACAGAAGAAAGAGGCAGGAATCGTAGTCTGTCACCAAACTCCGAAACTTCCTCACGGAGCTTGCATCTGTGAACGAAGAAGTAGTACAAAGCCAGTCCCTATGGTTTAAAGGGAATATGGAGAATCAATCTCCAATAAAAGGCAAGCCAAGACCACGACACAATCCCAATGAGACTTCAGCCTTAACAACCTCTGTTCCGGAGAAACCCATCATCAAAGCCCTATCAAGACCTTGTGCACTATGCAACAAGAATCACTGGGATGAAGAGTGCCAGATTTATCCCACTCTCAAACAAAGGCTGGAACGTCTGAAGAAACTAAACGCTTGCCTCAACTGCTTCAAGATCGGACATATGGCAGCCAGATGCAAAAACAAGAAACGGAATTGCTTCCACTGCAAGGGTCAACACAATTCCGCGCTGTGCCCTAACAAATTCAAGGAAATGCCCAATAAACCACAGGATCCAGACTCCACTACCACGACAAATATAATAGTCGAAAAAGAGAAGAAACGTGACAAGCGCATCCTACTCTTATGCAAGCAGATAAATGTGTTCAACCCAACTAATCCAAATACTCAACAAAGGGCTTTAGTCCTATTCGACGTTGGATCACAATTATCCTTTGTTTCAAAGAACTTAGCCAAACAACTAATGCTTAACGAAACAGATGAAGGGAAACTAAACATCGCTTCATTCGGCAAAAAGGACCCGAACACGCACCTTACAACCAGAATTGAAATAGGGATAAAAATCGGAAAGGACCGTACAGTGTTGCTCGAAGCGAACACCGTGCACTATTTAACAAACAAACTACAAGTAGTCAACTTAAGTGAAAGCGACATACGATCCCTCAAAGGAAGTCCAACAATTGATTTCCACAGTGAATGGAAGCAACCGGATATATTAATAGGAGCCAACCACTTCTTTCAATTCATCAATTTCGACAAAGCAGAGAATCTGCAATCGGGATTCACACTGCTGCACACTAAAGTGGGCCCGATCCTGGCTGGGTCTAGCTATACAAAGAAAATTTCTCCCAATTCACGAATGTCCTCACAAATAGTTTACGCCGCTAACACGATCAACGTTCCAGATTTAGATCAATTCTGGAAACTGGAACTAATAGGCATACAAGACAAACCCGAAAACAATGACGATGAAGAAGCCTTAAAACAATTTAAGCAAACGATTAGAAAATCCGATGGACGATACCAGGTCGCATGGCCATGGAAAGACACCAGTTCCAAATTAAGCGACAATTTCGAATTATGTCTCGGACGCTTACAGTCGTTAATCAAGCGACTTCACCGCAACCAACATCTACTTACCACATACAATGAAACAATCAATGAACAGTTAAGATCCAATGTCATCGAAAGGGTAAGTCATTTCACAAACCATCAAGGTATTATCCATTACTTGCCCCATCATGAAGTGGTAAAATCAGATAACACCACGACAAAGGTCAGAATAGTTTATGACGCTTCCGCTCACCTCAGAGGCAGGAAAAGCTTAAACGATGTCTTGTATCGAGGCCCTATCACCCTTCCCGATTTAGCTGGAATATTAATTCGACTAAGAACAATGAAAATCATCATATTAGCTGACGTCGAAAAAGCCTTCCTACAATTAGAGTTGCTGCCAACGGAACGGGACTGCACACGCTTTCTATGGGTAAAAGATATTCAGAAACAGATGGACAGAGATAATTTAATATGCTATTGATTCAAAAGGGTTCCCTTTGGAGTGATATCGTCACCCTTTTTATTATCAGCAACTCTCAATTATCATTTGGAACATTATGAGACTGAAACTGCACGTGAAATCAAGAAGAATCTCTACGTCGACAATATCATCTTATCAGCGAGCCATGAAAAGGAAGCCTTGAATAAATATGAAGAAACAAAATCAATTTTCAAGGATGCGTCAATGAACGTGCGAGAATTCCTCTCAAATGACCAGACATTCAATGAGCAACTACCCAAGTCGGACCGAGCACGAATGAGTCAAATAAAGAAAATATTAGGGATTAAGTGGAATCCACACAAGGATCATATCCAAATAACACTAAATCCATGGACCGAACAAACAACAACAAAAAGAACTATTCTACGGTTCATCGCCTCACAATACGACCCACTTGGATTCCTAGTACCACTGATAGTACCGTTCAAGATATTTCTCCAAGAACTCTGGAGAAAAAACATACATTGGGATCAACCCCTCGACAATCAATTGATTGAAACCTGGAACAATCTTGTGGTAAAATGCCCAACTCATATCAAGGAAATCCCGCGATTCACAATCGATTTATCACAACAAATTACCTTTCATGTTTTCACCGATGCATCTACAGTGGCATATGCTGCAGTAGTATACGCCCATCAAAATACGCATACGTCGTTACTCTTTGCTAAATCACGATTAGCACCTATTAAAGGAATGACGATACCAAAGCTAGAATTACTAGCTATTCTCATCGGTGTACGCGCAGCTCAGTTTGTCATCAAACAAATGGAATTAGAAAATCCAAAGGTAGTGGTATGGTCGGACTCTCGCTGTGCACTACATTGGATACAAAACAACTCTCGCCTCCTACCAAAATTTATACAGAATCGTGTGGAAGAAATACAAATGGCGAAATTCGCATATCGGTATATCCCAAGCGAACACAATCCAGCAGACATTGCTACCAGAGGAACCATTCCGACTCGTCTAATAAGTTACGAGCCTTGGTGGAGCGGGCCCACATGGATCAATGGTAATGAACCGAATTGGCCTCATTGGGAATACGACGTTCCACAAGAAGAGGATAACGAAGAAGATAAGAATATAGTAGCAACAACAACCACAGAAGAAATCATCAATACAAATCGAATCAATCTCCTGGAGGCAAAACGATTCAGTAAATGGACAAAGATGATAAGAACAACAGTAAGAGTACTAAAATTTCTCAAAAAATTATCTAAAGGAAAATTAACCTGGTTAAGCAGCGTATCAGAAAGGAATCCGATTACACCCGAGGATTACAATCTCGCTGCGGAACTACTAATAAAACAATCCCAATCGGAAGGTATAACAGCAGAAGAAGTGGAAAAGTACAATCTGCACTATGCAGACAGGTACTGGAGATTCCAGAGCAGACTACAATTGCCGAACGACAGGGAATACTCATCCCAAACAATATATCTCCCCAGACACAATCGAATAACAGAACTAATTATTCAACACCACCACGAAACGACGCATCATGGAGGTATCCCTCAAACTATTTCCAGAATAAGAAAGCTTTACTGGATTCCGAAAGGAAGGGCTGAAGTCAAGAAGGTGTTAAACCGCTGTATGAGTTGCAAACGCTGGAAAGCCAAGCCATTCAAATTGCCACCTATGCCAAATTATCCGCAAGAGCGGATCACTGAATCAAGAACGTTTGGACGAACTGGCCTCGACTATTTGGGGCCGATTACTGTGAAGATACAATTGGAAAAAGCAAAGCGATGGATCGCCTTGTTCACATGCTTCACCACCAGAGCGGTACATTTGGAAATGGTGGACGATCTATCAGCGGAAAGTTTCCTAACTGCATTAAGAAGATTTGTTGCGCGACGCGGCTATCCCGAACTCATTCTTTCGGACAATGCCACCCAATTTCAGGCAGTTTTTCAAGCCATAAAAACGCAAGAATCACAACTCTCTAATTTCCTTGCTGAGAAAGGAATCAAATGTAAGACTATAACACCGAGAGCACCATGGAGCGGCGGAATCTACGAAAGATTAATCGGCCTAACAAAAAGGAGTTTAAGAAGAGCTATCGGTAGACGACTGCTTAAGGAAGGGGAACTAATCACACTGATTATCGAAGTGGAAAGCATTCTTAATACTCGCCCCTTAACTTACGTAAATTTCGACGACTCAATTATTTTGCGACCAATAGACTTCATCATTCCCAATGCTTCTTTGTCTATACTGAATAGCAATAAGACAGAGAAGACGAATTCTCACCTTATAGTCTAACCACACAAGAAAGGTTACTTCAACACTGGTCGAATACCCTAGAAACATTGAAAACATTTTGGGAGATATGGAAAGACGAATACTTGAATAGCTTAAAGGATCGATACCAATTAGAACATAAATCTCCAAGAAATGTAGAAAAGAGACAGCCGATAGAAGGAGAAGTGGTACTGTTAGATGAGCCTCATGCACCACGTGGTACATGGAAACTAGCAAGGATAAAGAAATTAAACGTAGCCAATGATGGGTACGTCAGGAGCGCTCAGATCGAAACATCGTCAGGAAAACTTCTAAATCGACCTGTAAGCACGTTGTATCCACTTGAAGTTACTCCAGAAAAACAGTCTACTCCGGAGAACCCCACGAACCCATCAGAGAGAGCAGAACCAATTATCCAAAACCGAAACACCACAACTGACACGAAGATTTCGAGTGAAAGTGGTGAGGAGCAACCTATTGCTCATCGAACACGGAGCCATACAAATTTACAAAAAAGGGAGAAGTCAAATTTCGTTTTAACCAACTTACTGTTAACAGTAGCAATATCGATAATTCTACAAGCAGCAGAAACGAAAGAATGCAATTATCGTAGAATTAGGACCTTTGACGCCCAACGATACGAAAATCACGTCGTCGTCCACAAGCTACAAACCTCCCTTGTATATAAGGGGACACCACGGAAGTCAATCACCTCGAATTGTCGATTCGTCAAACCCCATCAAATGAAAGGTGGAATTATCATTGACGAGGATCAAGGAACGCATGCGACTGCAATAGAATTTCCGAATCGAGAAACAAATTCACCGCTATTCATGCTGGAAATCAGCCCCAAGGAACTTTCGGATCTCACTTGGCATTGGCGATTGATTATGTTTGCGATAATTGTCTTCGCGTTGTTAATCGTGCTGATTATTCTTAGATGGAAATTTTAATTGGTTATCTCAATCTTAAGATTCATATGTCTTAGAAAATCTAGAAACAGAGAAATACCTAACACCATCCCTTTACATTTAATTCAAACTTGTACTACCCATAATCAAGGTTTAGAAAGTGTTGAGAATCACAATGTTTTATCCTATAAACCCCAAATCTATCCATTAGAATACTTTTCGCTCTTCCCTCGGGAGTGTCGAGAACAAGCTCGAAATTCCACTAGAAATAATCTTTGTACCGAACAATCGAATTTAGCAAAAGGTCAAGAATCAATGTATTTATATTTAAATCAATGTATTTATATTTAAGCAAATCATGTTAATCATTTATTGTAAGTTTTATTGTAATTCAAATTCCTTAAGGACTCATAGATGGTAATGTGTTAACAAATTCCCATGCTAATCTGTCATATTATCTAATGCACATCTGCTCCAATCCTTTGTTTGTTATCTAATTCCGTTTACAAAAACTATCTTTCCCATAGCCTTCCTCCTAGCTTCCATTGTATCAATCGCTTTATCTCTCCACCCTCAAATCATCCTATGTAAGGGCAATTACCACTCAACCAGCTCATCCTTCCCAGCATTGTTACCAGTCTCCCCGTTGCTTAGCTCATCCTCTTCACTAAATTGTCAAACTACTGATTGCTTGTTTGTTTTAATTACCCAAGATAAAGCACTCGACTCAATTGTGCAAGTAAACCAACCCAATTCAATCCATTCACAACACCAATCCAATCCAATACATTCACAACAAACTTTGCACATAGATGACAGAAAATTTACAAAATTCCTTTGGCTTACGGATATATGTCGTCCTCCGACGACTACAAACTTGGCGATTTTTCAATTCGCTCGATTATCATTTGGTATCATCTGTAGCCCGTTTGTCCTGGCAGCAGTCATACGATATGCTCTCCAAAAGATAAACACTTCTCTGGCTAGAGAGCTTGAATGAAATATGCACGTTGATAATATTCTACTAACAGCTCAAAATCTCAAAGAAGCTCATCACAAATACGAATTAACGAAGCAGTACTTTGCTTCAATTAAAATGAACCTAAGGCAACTTAAATCGAACAAAGAAGATTTCAACAATTCACTACCCAACGAAGATCTCCTCCCAACCACAACAGTAAAATTGTTAGGAATATCATGGAACACAAGTACGGACCAAATAATTCTGGAACTGAAGGAATTGCCAAAAGCAACAACAAAGAGAACCATCCTATCCGTAGTGATAAGCGTATTTGATCCATTAAGATGGATTTCTCTTGTTCTCATATCATTTAAGACCTTCCTCCAAGACCTATGGCGAAATAAACTATCTTGAGACGAACCTCTTAGCATTGAATGATTATCCGAATGGAACAAACGCTCCCAGACATGGACGCAGGAAACATTCCCACCCATGCGACATATTAAAATAGAAGAAACTAGCTCGATACATATCTTCGCAGACGCTTCGTCTAAAGCATATAGGGTCGTAGCATAGTTGCTGATTCCCGGTCAAACTGCAGAATTATGGCTGGCTAAAACACGTCTCGCATCACTAAAGGCCACCACTATTCCTAGCAAAGGAAAAATCTACCAGTAACGGTGTGGAGCGACTCTCAAATAGTCCATTGTTGACTATTCAGTTCTAGCACACAACCAAGATTCTTAGAAAACCGCTTAAAAGAATGCAGGCAAGTGAACGTATCCTTTCAACATGTACCGATAAGGGAAAATCCAGCTGATAGCTTGTCCAGGAGGATGTCGCCCGCAGAATTAAAAACTGCGACCCTGTGGTGAAATGGACCAACATGGCTATAAAGTGGAGAAATCATACCAACCTGGACCCCTCCTATATAAAGTTTATCAAAGGATAATAATGAAACACAAGTTCAACAAAAAGTATAATGATGACAACAGCGCAAATAGTTAGAACACCACATCCACTTTCAACATTGCTGGACATACATAAATTTGGTTCTTGGAAAAGTCTAATCAGTACTGTCAATTAAGTTTATCGCGATACTGATAGAATGCTTAGAAGAAAGAGCTCATTTCATGCGAATATTGGCAGAAAGCAATACATTTTGTCATTCAGAAAGACCAGCAACTACTAGCAAACTATAATCAGCACGTTACGTAAACAGATAAAACAGGATTATACGACATGTTTCTCGCATGGAAAACATGAGCAACATCGAGAACCATCCCGCTTTATTGGATAGACATTCACCCATAGTATCATTGCTAATATTCGACTTCCATAATGACGCATTGCATGCTGGTCCAAGTATTACTTTGACAAAATTTAGATATTTCAAGGAAGAAGAACAGTATCTCGTATTTTACATAACTGCCAACGTTATAAACGGTGGAGAGCTCATCCATTTTCGCTACCCAAATTTTTACCGTTTCCAATAACACGCATCATCCGCGCACGAGCCTTTCAACATACAGGATTGGATTATCTGCGACCTATACAGGTACGAAGAACTGACACAGTAGAAAAAAGATGGATTCTACTCCTAACATGCTTTGTAACCAGGGCAGTTCACATCCTCGAAATAACCGACGATTTATCAAGTATAGGCTGCCTTCAAGCACTTAGACGATTCTTCGCCCGAAGAGGATATCCATCCTCGCTGCACAGAGTGATCAAGGCACCTAAATGATGCACGTTCACGGAGCCTTGCTCAACGAACTGGACAAATTACGTCAAGAACCAAAAGTACAAGCGTTTTTAAGGCCTTTAAATATAGAATGGAAGCATACTGTCCCATATGCACCTTGGGCTACAGGATTATATGAAAGAAGATTAATTTCAATCTTCAAAATTATATTTCGAGTAGCGGTCGGGAAACATCTCCTAGACAGCTCAGAAATGACTAAAGTGGCGACAGAAATTGAAGCAATAATGAATTCTCCTTCTTTGACTGTAATTGATGACGAGAATATGCAGCCACTACGACCTATAGATTTTCTCAGCTCACAAGGATACGCAGTATCTTCACTACCTATCCAACGAGAAGAACCATCCAAGATTCGCATAATCGAGGTTACCTGTTGAACTACTGGAAAGAAGATGTAATAATACCTTCAAACACTACGAGACCGCAAACAAAGAGAGCACAAAGGAACACACGCGCAGAGCATTCTATAAGTGAGAGAGATTGTCCTGGTGCACACATTAGCAGTACCCAGAGGATGTTGGCCTCTGGCGAGCATTACCAAGTTAATAGTACAAGCCGGTAATATTCCAGCGGTCTAATTTAAAATGTCCAATGGACACATTTAGAAAAGACCTCTACCCCTTAGAGCTGAGCATCAGTCAAAACAAATAATACCAAGTCGTGGACCCGAATATCGAACTAGAAGATTATGAAGATAAAGGAAAGCTATCCATCCGTCCTCGATTCCGCGGAAGGAAAACAATGCCAAAGAGGTAAGAGCAGACTGATAACAAGTCCAGTCATTTTGTTTGCTATTTTTCTCGAGTCGGGAGTGTCGCCACAATGGCGATTCTATAACGTAGTGAACAAAGACTATTGTTTTAAGTGATTTTAATCTACTTTGTAACCTTAGCATCCATAAAATCCCTCCCAATTTTTTCCTTACAAAGCCATTCATTATAGTTCCTTGTCTGGTATGGCTCGGTTGCGAGATGGTTTAATTACCTAAGTTTGAGGTTTGAATAATAAAGTATTTTACGAAGACTCCCATAGTACACGTACACAGAACGGAATCAGCGCAGGTTCGAGAATGTACCAGTATCGAAGACAAAAAGTCAACGATGTGAACTATCAAGAAAGGAAAACGACTTTGTTTCGCAAGGAAACAGGGCAGTAAGAAAGAAATTCTAAATTTGTTTTTACACACGCATATCACTCGTATTCCTAACATAAGGTGCATTCTTCACAGCATATTATGAAATTAGCGAGAAATTCCTACAATCAAAAATAGCTGAACAAATGCAATTCGAAAGAATACCATCCCAATACCTATCATCAATATACTATATGAATATAAAAAAATTGAAAATGATAATTAAGGAAAATGTGTCGTATACTCTATACTCTGATGAAAGAATATCATCCCAATACCTATCATCAATATACTATATGAACAAGTCATAACGCAATTGGCAATGAGGGTGAATTATCTGGAATCCAGCAACTATGTTAACGAACATCTGAAAAATGCATTAGAACAATTTAAACAAAATACCACTAAGGCTCTGAATCGATTCTCAGCTTTTTAGGTATGAGTATTTTTTCTTAGCTTCTTAGAATGCAGGAACAGCTACAAAATCAACATAATTAAAGAAATGTCTTCTGATATGAATAAAGATGATGTTATTCATTACTTACCTCATTACGAAGCACTAATACCAAGTAAATTCATAACAAAATTAGGAATCTTTTATAATCCATAAGCTCACTTTAAAAAGATGAAAAGTTTAAAGATTTCTTATATCGTGGACCAATAAAATTCCCGGATTTAATCAGAGGATTTTTCCTTTCCGAGTAATGAAAAATGGTGTAATGGAAAAAAAAATAACAGCTGATTCCTCCAAAAAAAGAACTACACTCGTCAAAAAGAAACTGCATCCCGATTTCTTTAGCTAAAGGAGGGCCAGTAAACGAAGAAAACATGAAGTGTTTATCGTGAAATTTGTGGTCTCTGAGCCTTGCAGCTTAGAACTTAGAGTCGAATTGGACTTTCATATGCTCAACAGCTTTCTAAACTGTTATTGTAGTTGGTAAAGGCGAATGCATTGAGTGAAAGATTTATTATAACGATTTTATTCGCTAATAACTACGATACCAATCTATACCGAGAATATGTTTATAAGTTTATAGTATTTGTCTGCAAATATGAGATTAAAAATGAATAAATTAATGGGAATTTAAAGAAATTAAATAAGTGAGAGAGAGAAGCCAAAATCATAACTTGTTGGCACAGAAAATTGACAAGACAAAGAGTTCCAATTCTTATATAATGGGTATTGATTTGTAACAAGCGCATGATTATGCATGAGTAAAGAGCTATCAGATGATCGTTTCTCTTTATATAGTAAAAGATGGGTTTTAATATTATCAGTTTCTTATAAGAATGACTATTAGATTAGGAAATTTTTACAGTACTTGGATATTACAATCAAATTTGGTTAACATGTTAAACAATGTGCGTACCCTTTGTTCTACAGCGGATAAGCTCAACCAAAACGGGATGAGTGTTGGATTAATGAGATTGCTTACATGAAATGTATTTTGAAACAATTTTATATTTCTTTAAATGTTTAATTAAGACAACTTTTACTATTATGGATCAATCCAATTTTATTTGATATATTTTTTAAATTAATTGAAAGTTCGCGAGATTTATTTCGAGCTTTCCGACAGTGTTACCATATCAAAAGAGTTCCTTTCGAGTGATCTCACCCCCCTTTTTATTGTCAACTATCTTAAACTATTAAATAGACATACATTAAGTCAAACGCTGAAATAAGAAAAAAAATCTTTGTGTCAATAATATAATAGTATTGACTAAAGGAACTGAAGCACTTAGAAAATATCAATAAATGAAATCAATTTCTAATGAAGCTTCAATAAATGTAAGAGAATTTTTATCGAACGATCAAGAATTGATTTGAAATTCTAGAAAAGAACAGAGTAAAAATAAGTCAAATTAAGAAAATTCTTGGAATTAACTGAGTCCATAAAGACAATAATTGTACAACTAACATTAAAACCATGGATTGGGAAAAAAATTAACGAAGAGATCCATTTTGCAATTCTTAGCCTCTCTGGAAAAGAAGTCTAGTATGATCCACTATGATTTCTTGTTCCTACCATGATACAATTTAAATTTTCTGCAAAAATTATGGAAGAAGCATATCTCTTAGAATGAAAACATAAAAATGGTAAATTATGAAATACACTCATAAATGAATGGCCAAATATCGTATAGGAGTTACTAATCTTTCCACCCTGACGCCTCAAGTGCAGCACATCTCCAAGATCAAAGGAAAGAAACATTTTTTGGCTTATTAAAAGTATGACAATACCGTTATTAAATTGAAGTAGCTGTCGATACTTACTGGAATAAGAACTACTCAATTTGTAATCAAACAACTAGAACCCGAAAATGTGCGAACAAATTTATGATTTTTCAATGTGCAGTACACTGAGGACAAAATTATTTCTGACTCTGTCAGCTTTTTGTACAAAATCGAGTTAAAGAAATAAGGAAAGCGATAATTTCGCTCCGTTATATTCCAAGTGAACATAATCCAGTTGATGTAGCAACTGAGAAACTTTCACTTTGAAGATTAAAAAATTATAATTTGTGGTGTAAAGGACCAACATAGCTAAAGAAAGAAAAATCAGACGGACATATTCGGAAATCGGAATTAAAGAAAACTATGAAAATGAAAAGGGAGATAAGTTAAACACAAAGGTGACCCGTTAGGTTCCTGTCCAAGAAATAAAACTTATTGACGGAAATCATTTGGTAACAAAAGATTCCTTCTCAATACATTTGCCTATACCAGCTCCAATTCACAATTAAAAGTAGCTCCCTAACAAATCTTTACAAGAAAATCTCGACTGAAAAAACAAATTACAACAATATCACATATTTACTGAAATTATTTATTTATTTAGCTGACATTCACGATGTAATTTTTAATCCATTTTTTCAGTGCAAAATACATTGCATCTTACGAAACACGTCCAAAAATTACAAGAAAAAAATGCTGAGAAATTTCTTGTCTTCCTTCGACTGAATAGCAGCAACACAAAGAACTGGAATGTATGATGAAAATGTCACAAAAGATTATAGAGATAAGCATTTATAAAAATTAACATTGAAAAAATAATTGTGGAGCTACATTGATTCCTTCAGTGTAATAACTCCATAATAATTATTTTTTTCTTGATGAAGTTTTTTCCTTGATGAAAACGGCAACTGCATCACATGTGTGATTCTGGAAAACTTTCCACAAGTGTGGAGAGTTTTCCAGAATCCTGAAACATAAGCATATGAAACAAGTTGGCTTACTAATTCAAATATTCATTCCCCATCAAATAATAATCAAACTAATCTGTTTCCTACCATTGTATTTTCTAGGACACTCTTTTTTCGCATAATACTAGCAATTACTGAGGAGAATAAATTTCTTGAATCTTTCCTTTAAATTTCGTTAGAATTTTCCGAAGAAGTTAAAACTAGAAAGGAAATATATTTGAAGAAAATTTCAAGCAGCATAAGCTTAAAATATTACTAGAACCAGTCACAAATCAGTTTATAATGGACATAATTGCAGCTGTGTGTATTATTTAATTATGAATTAAAGAATCCAATATTATTTTCAAAACGACGTTGTTGCTCGAAAAAGACTTAATAATATTGCTGACAAATAGATGACATACGTACATTATGCGTACAGTAGTTTAAAATGCGAAAAATGCTTCATAAAACGTAAAACCACAAGAAACTTCGATTCTATGGATAGCCGGTTGAGGTTGACGATTGATAATGTGTCGGCGTATATAAAGGATACAGCGGTTGTTGTTGCTGTTGTTGTTGTTGCTGTTGGTGATGTTGACGGTGCTGAAGTTGTGACTTTGTAGTCGTAAATTTCACATCACATGACTGTTGTGATGACGATGGCTTAATGGCAATACTCGTTGAGCTGATTCCCGTGATTATTTCACTCTGCAAGATTTAAATTTCTCTGTTATGTAAAATATGCTTTCTCGTGACGCTTTTTTGCTGTATCACTTATCACCAAATAAAAAAAAACATATAAACTCGTATGCATGTACCTGTTCAGAGGTAAGGCTTCGAAGATCCGTAAGTTTCATCAACAAACGAGAAAAAATATTCCGTTGTTTAGGTCTTAGGGCATCAACGTATGACTGTAATGCGGAAGTATAAACTTCCTGAATATCTTCTACTGATTTGGGTTGAAGTAAACCTGGTCTGTCTGAAGGAAACGTAATTAGCTTTTAAAGTAATCATTAAATGCTCATTTCAGCAAATTATTTCTCTTTGAACTCAGTACTATATAGATTGGAAAGTGCATCAATTTTACCAATCTGAATATAACCAAAGTCGATAGAAATTAGATGTCTAAAAATCAAGGAATTGAACGTCGCGGTTCTATTGAAACAATTATGCATCTTGTTTTAATACTTAAAAGTTATCTTTATTTATAAGGTCATTGTTTGTAACTCTGAATTCCTCTGGTATTTTTTTTTTTTTTTTTTTGTGGGAGTTGAAAATCAAAATGGTTGTAAGTTGAAGTTGTCAGTTTGCGGATTCAGTGAATTCAAGATAACTGCTCAAAATTTTATGAGGATTCAAGAGTAAAACATTGAATCAAGCTTGAACAAATCACCAGAAAAAATGGCGATCGCAGTGAGCAGAACGTATTCTGCCTGATGTAATTGCATTTTGGACAGAGCATGCGCAAAATCGAACATTAAATCAGCCAAGGGTCCAATGAATTCACGATACTGTTCGCGATCGTATCGCCACTGCTTTGCTTCATTTCCGAGAACTACTTTTTCATCAAACATGTCGTAACAACGTGATGTCCTTAGTACAAGTACTTCAGTCTTACAAGTCTACAAATACCGTTCACGTAATGAATTATTTCATCAAAATGTTGAAAAGGATTTCTTATGTCATCTTCAGTAACCAAAATAAGGCATTCATCAACGATAAGCAGATTTACCAATTCATTAATTTAAAAAAAAAAAAAACATTAATAAAGCCTGCATGATAGTATAATATTACATCGAGAATTTTTGAGAGTTTTTGAAAACTGGTATGTAATTTTAAAACTTCATGTAATTTTAAAATTTCACTATTTGAAAATTAAATGAATTTCTAACTTTATGTAAGGTGCGTTTATCTTCGTCGGAAAGTTTGCAAAAACCAGGTAAATGCATTGTGAATTGGTGAATTAATTGTAAGCTTAGAATTGTCAATTCAGCAAGCTGTTGGTAGGAATTACCCACTTCATTATGCTCCTAAAAAAATCATTTATCATGTATTATTTTCGGAAATTCCCATTTCTAACCTTAACTGCAACTTCATTTTCTCAGCAATTTTGAACCATAGCTAACGTATCTCTACAAATTCTCTCTTGCTTATTGCATGTTTTTTCAAATAAAGTCAAACCGTGAAACTATGAAATTGAAATGTTCGAAAAAATAAAAGAACTTAGTCCGTGCAACACTCAAAAGATTTCAGATTTTGATTTGGCCAAATTTTCAGAAACTTCAATGGAATTACCGAAACTTTCATCAGCATATCAGTGGATGGTGTGGCAAATTGTTGATCAATTGTTACAATCCGATTAATCAATTCTCTTGTTTCCACTGATAGTGCTATACAATCATCTGGTGATTCCGATGAGCTAACTGCTTGTTGTGGACTGACACAATTTGCTTTACGTTGTTGTTCTAATGTCGTACGTAATTTCTGTTTAGCTTCACGTTTGATTCGGCATTGATCCTCCGGAATCACAACTAAAGGCACTCGCGAGTCAGCGCGTAATCCTGAATTTTTTTGAGATCCTAGTGAAGTGCAAACTAAAAATTGAAACACATGCAACAAAACATCAAAAATTAATTGACTTAGTGCAACTTAGGTGTATACGAGATATTTGGAAAGAAGAATATAAAAAACAGATTTGAAAGATCATAAATTTTTCAGTGAAGCAGATTAACGTTGAATACGAATAAGTCGGAAAAAAGCAGTAAAAATAAGGAACAGAATACTTAAATATAATCAAAAGTAGTATTATCTTCACTAGAACATGCAGATGTGCAAAGTTCTTCAGATGATTCATTCTTAACTCTTCTTCTGTAAATAAATTATGATAAAAGTATTCGACAATAGTGAACATTGCCCTCTGAAAGGAGGTCACAGGATCCACTGATAAACTGCTCCGTATAATAAATCGTTTGTTAGTTCATCACTTATTTATGGTGTTAATAACACAAAAGGAAGCAATTTTTTGCTGTTTACTAATGAACCTCTAAAAATTAAATTAATATATGAAGTATGTAAAGAGTATTACACTTACGTTCGGGTCTCATCCCGATTTCCATACATTTTTTTAAACGACAATGTTGACATTTCCGCCGCATATACATATCAATATCGCATGATTCGCCGTATTTACAATGATAAATTGCTTTCCGAGTGACAGAACGTCGAAAAAATCCTAGTATTTTGTATTTCATTTAAAAATTATTGAGTTTAATTTCCAACTCAGTTCGAAAAATGTAAATCCACAGTAACACATACAGAAAGAATGCGAATGAGAAGACAAACAATAATACCTTTGCATCCTTCGCATGTGAGAGCATTGTAATGATAACCAGATGCTTTATCACCGCAAACTAAACAAAGCTCTTCGGTAACATTATGCATAACCATACCACTTGAGGAAGGCAAAGATGGAGAGCGGACTGCTTGACAACCAATATTATTCGACCTTTTCTTACTTCTATACTCACTGTCGCCATTAGATTGCTGGAAACAAATGAGCACAATTTTCAACGATAGAATGGTCAATTACTCTTTTGTTAACCATAAAAATGATCGGATACGCTGTTTTATTTGTAATCTCAATCAAATTCGGATTCATTCCTTGTGTCGACTACCTAAAATGAGAATGACAAAATCTGAGAACTGATAAGTTTTTTTTTTTCAGTACGCATTTTTTAGAGGAAAGCAATAAGACAGATAACCACAATGTTTATAAAAAAACAATTTCCTTGATCTAATCAAAAGATTAATATTAAAGTATCACTTTGTTTAAAGGCATGGAAAAGTTTTGCATCAATCTAAATCTTTTTGCAAATGGGGCGAAATAATAGGATCACATTTAGAAGTATTGCTTTTCTTCCCAAAAGATAATTTTGAAAAAATCAAAAATCAATTTAACATGAGAGTTAAAGAGTAACGCCTTAAAAGAAGGTTTTTCTTTTTCTAAACAAACAATATTTTGCAAAGGATGAATGAAGAGGACATTGCAAATAATATTCAGGTTTTCAAGGTCATCAGTGATATTTCCAATATTTCCACTTCAACTCAACCGTTGCGTCTCACAGCAATTAATTATGCATTTATATTAAACTGCATTTGGTTGAATGTGTGACAATAAATGTAAGATAGTTGACCATCACAGATTCTTTCTCTATCTTAGCAAGAAGTAAACGGAACTTTGATTACCGAAAGCAACCGGATATAACCAACTGAAACTTGCAACTTGAGAATTCACTTCTCTCCAAGAGATTAGAGAGGGAATAGGTACTTAGCATGATTTTTTTTTTACAATAGTGTAACAAACATGAGATGTGATGAGTCTATTCTTTCTTCCGGTTTTTGGTTAATTTTACTAGATCTTCAAACTGTTGTTTTAAAAAATAACTACTGAACGAACGTTATCTTTTGCTAAAACTCCAGCAATAAAAGTGCAATGGGTTGTGAATACCTGTCGTTGTTGCTGTTGTGTTCCTGATATTGGCAAAGCAACTGTAGTACAGTGAGTACTTCCATGGGCCACGGAATGAATCTGATGAAATCGCTGAACCGCTGCAGCAGTTGGTGGTGGCGTTGACAGGAAGGATGTAGCCGCCCAGAAATTGTCATCTATTTCAACATCTGCAACACGCTGAAATTAATTGCTGTTGTTGCTATAAAATGGATAAATTATCAGCGCACATCAGTACATCACGCGCAAACTCATCCACTTCAAATGACCTTCACCTCTTTACCACTTTGGAAAAACCATGTCGTAACTAAATAAAATTTAAAAAATTTTTGGATTTGTGGATAGTTTTTTAAAAAAGGACAAACAATTGTTGATAATAAAATTATACAGACTTGATAACAAAAGTGGTAAAATCTGTTTTGATTTTTTTTACAAAATATGATAAAAACTAGAATTGACCTGTACGATAATGATTCAGCGACTGAGCACAGAAAATTTCTTGTGATGTCAGCAGTGAATGCTGTTGTGGATGTCGCTGTTCAGTGAGGACTTGCGACGATTGCTGATTCTGTTGTTCGATTCCTGATGGTACCGCTGCTACAAATGCCGTAATTGGAGCTGAGGTTGAAGAAGGTGAATTATGGGTTTGCTGCTGCTGTTCCTGTTGTTGCAGTTGTTGAGAATCGGATAGCCAGCTTGTAAGGGGTGGCAACTCATGATATGTTACTGTTGCTGTAGTCATAGGGTCACAGGGTCACCAATTTCTGATCCTGAACCAAACGTGCGTAGTTACTCGAACAAACTGAGCGACTGTCACCTACTGCAGGTAAATTCTAGCAGAAATAGAGGTGCATCATTTAATGTCGAAATAGATGAGCGTCGAGAACAGTCTCCTCCTCTTGGTCGTCTTTTCCCGTATATTGTCGCAATCATTCGCGCGACCTTGAGGGAGAGCTGACCTCTGCAGGCAGGTACCGACAATCTTTCAAGGTCTTCTCGATCATGCAATACCAACACGTGCTCTTCATACTTCAACTGCCGGCCCTGTTAGTACCGTTTTCCATGTCATCAAATCACCTTCCATCACTCTATCCACATACATGCACATACACAACATACACACACATACACATCCATATAACATATCTCAATTTTGTTTACTAAAAATTTTCATTCTTGGAATTTTCACTCTATTTCTGTAATTTCTATCCATTCTAGAAATCAGAAAACAAAGAACAAAAGGAAAATGACATGTGAGGGATTATTGAACAACTCCATTCTATTTTCTATTTCAATTTCGACCGTATATTATATCAGATATCACGAAGTGATCTCCGTCGAAATTACCAGAATCCATAAATTTAATCCCATCGAATAGCACTACTTTCTCTCAAAGGAATGACAGCACTAACTTTTGTGCACATTGCACAAACAAGCAGAAAGACTAAAAAAAGGATTATTTTTCCCGTTAACTGTGAAACTAATCTACCAATTATTATTCGACTTGAACACATTAGTTAAACTATAGTGAAGTAATCGACCTATTTCGGCATTTTATTTCGTCATTCAGTAAATGAAAACAGTTACAATTTTTTCCTAACAAAATATCTGCAGAAGAGAAGTAAACAAACGAAATCAAATAAATTAATAATACTGGAAGTAAACTATGCAGATTAAATACTATAAAATTCAATAAATGTACTGATTACTTTCAAAGATCTAACAAATTGTTCAACACCATATTATTTCAGCAGGAACAGCATAACTTGCGTGAAAATATTCACTGTTCAAGAAGAAGATGAAGACGAGATTATGCGGAACAGTGATCAATATCTAGTAACAAAAAACGAATTTCTGAGTTTCTTTCTCTTTCATATTAGAAAATTAATTCGTAAATTTCTGTATGCCAAAAACTGATCAAAACCGATATCATTTCTGCTACGTTGTCACCTAGGCAAGGAAACAGTAAACACACTAGTAGCTACTTACTTTAAAAAAGTAGTTCTCGTGATTCGAATTTATCTAAACAATAAGATCCAGTGAAAGAAAAAAAAAATTGAATTTGTTATACTCAACTCAACAAGTAAAGAAACAAAAATCCACCAAAAGTTTAAAAATGTTCAGAGTTCAAAAATAACATAGCTCCTGGCATTATATACAATCTTGAACGGTGCAAGGGCTCCCATACGACGTCCACTCAGTACCTCTAAAATTAAATCACATAATGATTCACGCTTTCGATTATCTGGGTCCTGCAAATCCCATATTGCTCGATAGCTACATTCCGGTCTGCAAATAATACAAAACATCGATAGTCGCATGAGACACTACCGGAAGGATTTCTATAGTTAAATAAGCTGACCAAAAGCCGAACTACCAGCCAACACATACCAGCATTCAATTTCTAATTCCCTCTTCTACTCAATTTGAGGTTGAAATTTGATACTGATTTCATATATCCTATTTTGACATTTGGTTTTATTTCATTTTTTCAGCAAGAATGCAACTCAGACAATATTTGTCAAAAATATAGAAAGCGTTTAAAGAGAATTAAGTATAAAAACCAATTAAATTAGATTTTATCTTTATTTTGCGATTTTTTAGAAAATTCTCGAAATCGGATATACATTTTATAACAGACTCCCAAATCCCTTTACAAATTGATTATGCGAAAGTTCATTTATTTTGCTCATTTCACTATTCATAGAGTTACTGATTGTTTCTGAAACTCAAAAAAATGAGAAACTAACATCGACATACGTGAGTCACACCAATTTGGCTGAAAAATATAATAGTTGATACCCATTCCTTTCAAAGTATTGTAAACTTCTATCAACGGTTTTCGGCTAAACATCGAGTAAACTTTGAGCGTACGAGATCTGAAATGTTGATTTTGAAATTGCACTAAAAAGCTTATTAAAACTGTATGAACATTTATGCAATTTTATAATCGACTTTATTATATATGGCTCTTTATCTTTTAAAAAAGGGAAGAAAAAGTTATTTAGTGTGCTGAAATCCATATAACATAGTAAAATGTAATAAAAATTAAATACTATACAAATTTACATTTAAACCCATTGCTGAAAACGTACAGAATTTACACAGATTTTCAGTACTTCTAACAATAAATGATACCTCAATCCAGCATCTTCATAATGAGGATGATTCACGATCGGTCTTCCGGTAGACAATTTGACATTGGCCATAACTGGCATAGGACCAGCAAAAACAGAATCTGCAAGCTATTTCACTAAAACATAATGAATAATGGAAAATTTTAAAGATTAAGATCCATAAGCAAAATATGCAGTTCCAAGAAATCTTTGGATATTTCGAAAAAAGAAAAAATTCTAAATATTTCTTCTATACAATTATGTATATACCAGATCTTGTTTTACTAGATATCCAATTGAAAAGTGCTTCTTGATCGGGATTACTATACTCCCCCTGAATTTCCCATTGCTTTTGGATATTTACTATTCCCTGATGACCCATAGTTGCTAATAATATAACAATTAGAATTCGATGTAACCATTCTGGCATGTTAAAATGCACAGTGTGTATCACGAACTGAAACACTACAAATAATACGATATCAAGAGATGTTCAATCATTCAATGAAGTACATTTTGATAGTTATAAGGACTTCAAGAAGACACTGTTCAAATTATATTTACCTCATAGTTAGCTAAAACTGTCACAATAATACATAAATGAGGCGTCATGAATAATTTCAAACGCATGATAAGGCAAGCCATGATTATAAAACAAATACATTGGATAATATTGTAAACGATCTGAAATAATAAGGAGTCTTTTACAGCTCAACTTTTGACCCATTTAGAATCCATTTATTTAAAATTTCAGTATACGCCTGTCCATTAAATAGAAAAACTAAGTTTTATCAACACCAGAAAAGAGTATAACTTATTGTAAACAACTTCTACATTAACAGACGTTGTAATGTGGGCACGTAGTTAACTTAAGCTGAAATGGTTAAAGAATCTTCAAGAAGAGTGAAGCGGCACTTTCGCTGAAGAATATTCTTAATTTTAATATATATGAAAGAAATACCTCTGCACATGGTTTGATTCGAATTTTATCGCGGTATATCAACGACTCATAATGTAAAAAAAACATGAAGACGAGGAAAAGCGATAAAGCCGCAGCTGGTAACAGAAGTGTTCTCATAAGATCTGTTAAATCCTACAAATGGTTCCTTTTGAGAAATGATAAAGGAAATGCCATCTCATTCATTTGCTTAATAAAAGGTAGAAAAAGCAATTTCGATTTAATACGACTATGATTTTCTAAAAATAAATTTTATACTGTCCACAAAGTTTTTCACAAAATTTCAGCCAATCATCTGTTTCGAAACAAGCTATATATAAACATGCATCATTAGGATTTCAAAGACGTATGACAATACTTCTATAGTTTACCTCCCTTCCTATAAAATCGAATTCTCTAGCGCAAGTGTACAAACGTGTATGAAAATTTGCAAATGATGTAAATTTGGCACGAAGAAGATCCATTATGTGGGCCTGAAACTATGCAAATACTAATTTGGAGTTTTTTCCTTCTTTCCTTATACAACATAACAATAAATAAAAACTTCAACACTTTCTCAAGACAACTTTCTCAACATTACATGTAGAAAGAAACAAAAACTTACGTCATCTTCCACACGCATCAAATGACTTATAGTTAATTTGATACCTACGGTACCAGCAATAAATAGTGTGCTATTCACAATAATATAGAATGGCCGATTAGTGATAAGATATAGATACCGATCCAGAGACATAATAATCTGGAGACATAATAAAACAGATACCGATCCAGAGACATAAGAACAAACAAATGAATTTTTAGATTTTTGAATTCAAATCGATCTCGAGTAAAATAACTGAGAATTTAGAATCTGAAACTCCATCAAATTTAGTACTTAAAAGTAACTTACCCATAAGGTGATGATGCTTGACAAATAAAAGGAAGTAAGCAGCATTTCGTTACCAAATAATAGTATAAATGCAGTAAAAAATGCTATCTGTAATCAATCATATAAGTATATATATTGGGCTTAAGAATTTCAACTGAGCTAATAGAAACTTTTGAATTCAAAAAAATTTTTCGAAAAGTCATAGCTTTGAATGAAACGTACCGCATGACCATAAACAATAGTGCTCATCGTCCTGATTGGAATAAAATCAAGAACAAAAGTGACGAAAATTGAACCCATTTGAGTAGTGAGTGCAAATGCAGAGAACTATAATTTAAAAAAAGATAAAATCATAAATTTTTGAAGAGCGTATTAAGGTCTAAATGCTGTTTTACGAAGCAGTAGAACTTTCATATCAGCGCAACATCTACCTGCCAAAAAAGCACAAATGTAGTTGTGAAATAAGCAATGAGAAGAGACCACAGGAAGCCATTTTTGATATATCTGAAAATTTTGACATTTGCATCTGCGCATTTTAACAAATTACATCTATAACAGAACTTCAACAATCATTCGAAATAATCCATGTTGAAGTTAAAACTTAAATCACAACTAAAATCCACTATAAATATGGAATAGTTACCTTAACACATATGTGATGACAAGTATCTGCGCTAGAAAGACGGGATAACCGAAGGATTCGCGAAGTGGAGGGGTCCACTGTACTCTCGTGGCTTGTCCATGATTGAAAAAAAAGCAGCAGACTGCAAGTGTGCCACCTAATATTGTGTCACTGAAATTATATGCGTATATAATGTTCCTTAAAGATTTCCTCAAATTTTGTGATCTCGAAAAGTTAAGCACTAATGTTTCGTCTATCATAATATGCTTTTGATATATGAGCTCAGGGATTCTCTTATAAACTGTCCTGCACGCTCTGCTTATATCATTTCATGATGCTTTTACACTTCTTTCCTCTATATGGAGTTTTTTCATATCTCAAACAAACTTATAAATTCAGCCACCACAAAATATTTGAGGAAACAACATATTTTGAATTTAATGTGCTCCATTCAAAAACAAAAATCTTCAGAGTATAATCAGTACAGAATTAGTTCGGTTGAAAGAAATTCTACTACTGGAAGAAAATGCATGCTGAGGCATCAACAAAGAAGTCACTGTTCTAAAGCATCAACAGCTTCATATAATCTTGATGGTGTTTCCAACCAAACATTTTTTGCTTGAAATCGATGAATGTTAGATGAAACTGGCTTATATCTAATCACTACTTCACAAAATGAGAATGACTCATGAACCACGAGAATACATATTCAAAGAAATACTCCTCAAAATCTCAAAATCATTAAAGCAAACCGTAAAAACTTTGTCTTTCAAACCTGAAGATGCCAGCATAAACAAGTGTTTCAGATTCTATTTGTCTTTACTTTGAAGTATAGAAAAATTTTACGCCTAAAATGGTTACGTTTCGATCTATCTTTTTAAGGTTCAGTCCTGCTGTTTACAATTTGACGGATTCACGTAGTTCCACCAAGTTTTATCTTCATTTACCCATGTACTTTTATCCTTCCCCTTTTCTCACCTATTATACATATTCATATCCACACCATTCAAAGGTAATTCTTTCATAGCTTTAAGCAACAATAGTAGCAATCTAACCTGAGCAAAACTCCAAACAAAAATATTGATGTAGCGACTGTACTCGCCAAGACGAAAACCATGGTGATATAAAAATAATGTTCATTACCGATTCCTGAAGTTTTAGTTAGATAAAAAGTCAAAAAAGAGAAGATAATGCTTGCTTACTGCATCTCCTTACTATGTTTGAAATAACTGTAACATTTAAGAAAAAGTTATGATGACAAGAATAACATGGAATAACTACATTAAAAATGTTTGCATGAATTAACCTTCACAGCTGACTACAGGTGGCAAGTCGTCACCCCGATTGACTTGCCAGCATTGTTCCACCACCCAATGACTTTTATTAGCTACTTTTTTGAATAATTTGAAGGCTATACCTAAAATCACCTGAAAAGTAATAATAGTTGAAAAGTCTGTATTCGTCTAACCATCACTAAAAGTTTCGATTCTGAAAATTTCCGCGGAACTCGAATCAAACAACACTCTTATGCTCAATTCCAACTAAGCAATTCCAAAAAAGCATCTAATTATAGCCTTAACCAAATATTAGTACTAATGGTTCAAATTATTTAACAATAATCCTAAGCAGATATATGTATAAATGAGCTATGCAATTATTTACTTTATTACTGTCACCTAATAGGCTAACAACAGCAACTTCAATCAAATTTTAAAAATTGGATTTACCTCAGGATAAAGGTTAAAACGCTTCAATGTATTAATAGTGTGACCATATTCTGTTACGTTATCGTTTGTTATTTGGTTTAGCACTTCGAAAAAAGATGATTCACCAATCAGTTTTTTATAAAATGAATAATATAATCCCTAAAATAAGTTAAAGTGTACTGAATGCCAGATATCAATGTATTATAGCAAGAATTACTACCACAGCTTTTTGCAACTAATCTAGTATTAAAACCGAGCTTCATCGTAATCTCTCAGCAGAATCGTTATTTTCCGGGATTTCTGGAGTAGTGCTTATATTGGTATGTATATTCAGAAAACTGTAATTTTGCTATAAATCTGTGACAAAAGTTCTTTTAATGATGATACATTTATTCATTTGCTATAATCTCAAAGATTTCAGAATGTATTACATGCATTCATCACTAAGACTACTATTCGTAAGAAGAATCAGGCAGGAATAAGAAAATGAATTTCCAAGTTATTAATTTCTATGTAATCCTTAGCTTTTCCATATCTTATACCATTTAAAATTCAGGCCTTTAAAAAATAAAGGAAAGGCTAGCATCTTTTCATTTAGTAACATTTACACCATTATCTGATAACATGTAAAGTTTCCGTAACAAAATTTCTAATATGACCTAAATCAATTATCAATATATTTTCATGCCTTTTCCTGCTTTGGAGTGCATATGTCAATAGTTGTAAATAAGTGAAAACAGTATTTAATCATAAATTATAGTAAAATTTAATCTGTCCCGAAAGTTAATATAAGAAGCTACTAATACTTTCTGGGAATTTCAAATGAAATGTTTTTATCAAAATCATGTGGCGGGAAGTACATGATCATACCTACTTGCAATAATAATAAAAGCATTTAAGGAACCGTAAACTCAAATGTATAGAAAAATCTTTCCAAATCTTCTTTTATTTCTCAGAAAAAAGACTAGGGAACATTGCGAAATTGGAATACAGGAATAAAAAAATGATAAACTTGAACGATGATCAGCTCTAATTTCAAAAACTTTACCAAAAAATTCGACATTTCCTGTATCACCCATATTTCCTCTATTTATTAAACCTGCTCATTATTTATAATTCACAGCTTTGCTGACTTATTCGCAATAGTGTCTTAATACTTATTTGTATACTTACACTTGCTTTTTTAGAGCTTTTGATAAGCAGTATCACTTTATTTTCTGAATATTTCTTTCATCCACTGATTTTACTTTGACACTATGCAATTAAAGAAAAAACAAAATTCACTTTAAGTTGTCAGTGAAAACAGCCAACAAATGCGGAAAAAATGGTCGACGAAAAGTATATTTGAAATCAATAAATTATATATTGAAAATCAGTCCTCCTGAGATTATCAATACGGGTACGATAAAGAAAAAACAAAAAAATTTCCCCTAAGGTAACATAAAATAAGCAGAAGAGAAAGCAAAATAACTGGTTAAGCCGCTTTTTTCTATTTCACCTTACCTCAAATTTGATTTGGTTTCACTAAATCACTTCATTCCCGCTCTTTAATTTAAATATTATTTTTGATTCCAGTGTGAAGAATATTGTATCTGCTTTACGTTTTTTAAATAAAGAACGCCTTAGGCAGTTCTCCTAACTCTCATATGCCCATATTTTTATATGATTGCAAACCTAATTTAAGGAACAACATGAACAATATGCCAAAGATTCAGCTCTTTACTCTTTTGGAAAACTTCATTATTATTAAAGCGACGCCACATTCTTGAATACTGCAAGTATTGATTTTACTTTTCACTAATTAATTAAGTAATATTGGTCCAATAATAAATTTTATCAGTGTTGACATATGCAAAAACAGCCATTTTAAGCATACGGACCCACCTTCTTCCGTAGGTAAAGCTATATTTACACTAGTTTTGAATATTTTCATTCGGGATGCCAAACCCTATACATTTTATTGCACAGTTCGAAGTGATTAAAAGCATTTTTGCTAAATCACAATTCGTCTAGGTATTTACAGAATACAGTGGCATATTTTGAGAATAACAACAGTGAAAATTATACGCTTCTGTTAAAATTAAAGATAAAGCAAAGAAATTACAGTGATAGAAATAATTTAAAATTTGATGATAATAATAACAAAAACAATAATAACAAATAATAATAACCAGTAATAGTAATTAATAATAATAATAATAATAATAATAATAATAATAATAATAATAATAATAATAATAATAATAATAATAATAATAATAATAATAATAATAATAATAATAATAATAATAATAATAATAATAATAATAATAATAATAATAATAATAATAATAATAATAATAATAATAATAATAATAATAATAATAATAATAATAATAATAATAATAATAATAATAATAATAATAATAATAATAATAATAATAATAATAATAATAATAATAATAATAATAATAATAATAATAATAATAATAATAATAATAATAATAATAATAATAATAATAATAATAATAATAATAATAATAATAATAATAATAATAATAATAATAATAATAATAATAATAATAATAATAATAATAATAATAATAATAATAATAATAATAATAATAATAATAATAATAATAATAATAATAATAATAATAATAATAATAATAATAATAATAATAATAATAATAATAATAATAATAATAATAATAATAATAATAATAATAATAATAATAATAATAATAATAATAATAATAATAATAATAATAATAATAATAATAATAATAATAATAATAATAATAATAATAATAATAATAATAATAATAATAATAATAATAATAATAATAATAATAATAATAATAATAATAATAATAATAATAATAATAATAATAATAATAATAATAAGTGAATCTGAATGATAAGTATACTTAAATTCTCAACAAATCTCTCCGTAAAGTTCAAACAGCTTGACCTACATTAAAGTACATTAGAAACCATTCTCCTGTTTGACTAATGAATTATGAATTAAAGAAATTTAGGATAAGTAGCAACAATATGTGACACCATAACCATTGCTGTTCGCATTGTATTCTTGGTTACGATAAGAGAAAAAACAACAGCGATACTTTCGATATTTCGTTTTGAACAAATTTATCTTTCATTTTCATTATCATTATCATCACCATCGTCACTCCTACCAGTGTGCTGCACAGGAGAAATGCGTAAGAGAAAATGTATGGTTAGTTAAAAGAGTGAAGTTAGAAAAGGAAAGAAAGCGATTTACTGCTGGTACTGCTAGAGTATGTATCAAGGCAGGTTAGGTATGATATATTGAGAGAAGTGAATGCAATAAATAAATGACAAAGACTATATCATTTTTAATAGACTCGAAAGTGTCAACAATATAGAGGAAGACGTAAAGGTTAGGATGGCAGGCGGTTTGCAAATGTCACAACTTCGAAAAAGAACCCGATTTACTATCTCATAACCATAATTGTTAACGATACGAACTACCAATTTATCGAAGGAACATGCTTTCTCATCTCTTTGTTCGATCATCACGCCCATCATCATCAAATACCCCTTCGGTAACAGTTATCTCTTGTTTGATGTGTACAACACATCAACTGTCACACAGACTCGCCTAACTACTACATTTCTACTGGTGTTACCCTCTATTCCATCAACACGAAAACTACTATCATTTCCATTTGAAAATACGATAAAAATTTATTCCATTAGTCTCGGTATTATCATTATTACTGCTACTCTTTCAGAAATCTCTTCTTCCTCGTCTTACTTTTTCATCCAGTGGAGAAAGACTTTGCAAACCACAGCAAGAGTAAACCCAACCCATTTCATTTTTGATGAATGACTCACTCAAACTCATTCTGATGAATCAACTGAAAAAAATTCCTAAGTAATAGAAGGAAGAGTAACGTGAATATTTCTGTACTTCCATTCCTATTATAAAACATTCAAAAAGATTGGTGATTAAATCACCACTACCCCACTTACTTAGAATCACCAATGATAAAAGTAAGAGTTTTATCATGCAATGCATTCATTATTCATAGAGCAGTGAAATTTAGAAATTTATCATTCACTGACAGTTTTCTTTTGCCTTCGCTTACTCTTCTCAACAATACTTACGGCTTTCTTATCTGTTTACTTAAAACCCCGCACTAGCTAATTAGCAGCTTACTTCCTCGTAAACAATCAGTCTTCCTGATCTTTCATGCACTTTCACTTTCTTCCAATGAAAAATTTGATAAAAACCTAATGCATTTAATGGTTAGCATGATTAATTTAAACTTTTTTTTTAAAAGAAATTTTCCTAACTTTCCAGGTTGGATCACTGCAGCATGTTTTAAAAAACTAGTTTTCAAACAAAAATTTGTTTTTTTAAGAAAAAATTTAAAAAAGTTTCTCTCGAGCCATTCGTTATATGCTTTTTTTATAGTAAACCTTTGTATATTTGTTCGTGCTCAAAAACTAATTTTTAAAACATAACAAAATGCAGGAATAAACACAACCACTTTAAAACTTGAAATTAATATCCAAAATTATTTCCATTTTTTTAATATAAAATTCATTTGGCAAAATTTCAAAGCCAATCTTCACTACATCATTCATTTCTGTATCTGTTCACTTATTTAAGATCTATCAATGATGACATCAAAGCGTAGAAAAGCTACATTTTTGAAATACTAGCTCCAGTTCACATTCATTAAATGTACACTCAGAATAACAACCAACATACTGAACAAATACAAATACTGAACGAGTAATAGATTAAAACATTGAAATATTTATTACTTATTTGCTAAATTTATTTTTCAAACAAATTTTGTCCTTTGTTTATTTAATCGCTTTTCCTACACTTTAATTTAGTAAACTCATCCACATAATCATCCAACGCTTCAATTCTACGACTTTTTGGATTTCTCCAGTTTAGTTAGAATGATCTTTGTTCGCTTTATTTAGCCCTTCCTTTCGCAATGTCTGTTTTATTGCTTCTCCCTACTTCTTAATGTGTATTGTCTGGCAACTATTTACTCAGTATATTATTGATCCCGTTATTCTGCATATTATCAATCATCCTGAAAGAACCAACCATTTCAGTCCGATAAGCCATTTCACGTTCAAAATCGGCCAAATGAGAAAAATGTCGATCGTTTTCGAATAGAGTACCAATATGTGAATAATTTAGTACTGCTGGTATGAGTGCTGAAATTAAATTTTAAAAATATGAAAACCTAGTAAAAATAATTAAAAATCAGAAGAAACCAATAAAATATAGTCGAATTATTAATCTCTTCCAAATCCTTTCTTTTTCCCCACCAACGAATCCTTTCACTCCTTTTTTTTTTTAAATTTAATTCACTTTCACTACAAAGCCAGTATAGCACGAAATTTTTTCTAATTCGAGATTATTTAGTGGCACGATAAGAAAATGACAAATCAGTCGCGTAATATAAATATCACAGATGATGAAAAGGGGACTGAAAAGCTGATCACATTAGTTAATCAAACAAGGAAAACTCAGTGAAACAAATTTATAAAATGTTGTAATTAAGAACTGGCTCCGCGATACGAGAAAAAAATGCACTTTCCCATATCTCAAAGACAACTTTAGAACTGACTGGAGTTGACAAATTTGACTTGATAGCTTCCATTTATTCTTAGTATTTCTCGTGAACAGTGTGACTATTCCATCTTATGTTTTATAAGATATCAAACTATTCACTTGTCTGAAGAGAGGAGCAGCAAAAAAGAAGGCCAAGGTCAAACTGTGGTAGTTCTCGTAGTTTGCAACCAGTGCTTTTTATAATACGCATTAATTGTTTCAGTGCAGTTGGATAGTTTTTATGTCCTGAGCCTATTAAATAATGACTTCTTAGATGATTTTTTCCTGGAAAAACCATCCACACTTTCCCTCCCATTAACTAACGGGGTCAACTTTTTATTCTCGTAGCACTATTTCCCAACTTCGTTATGTTATCAAAATTTCATTTCCTTACTCATTAAATTCGGCATTTTCGAGTCCCGGTAAATTTGCGTTTACTAGAGGTTACTTCTATACCAGCCTAGCATTCAATTATTACAAGAAATTATTTTCAGGATCGAAAACTTCTTTTTTGAACTTTGGGTGATAAAACTGGACGAAACAAGTTAAGAATAATTCAAGTAAACGTCTCATGAAGATATTTCTTTGCAGGAATTTGCTGAGCATGTTTACTTGCGCCTTTGAGACTTGATATTTCTAAAAAAGCACAAAGTTCATCAACTAAACCATTACACTTTGCGGGTACGTTTAGTTAGAAAAAAAAATGCAAAAATCGCCACTTAGGAAGTAAGGAATCCATATTTTACTATAAAGCTATTGTCGAAGTGATAAAGACGTTTGGTTTAAGGCAAAACTAAAATAATTAAAATATTTTTTTCTATCTTAGTCCTTTTTGTAAGTGCTTGAAATCTTAAACAGAATAAAAAAATCACATCTTTTTTACGTTTCCTATTCCTTCTAACATTATGCATACTAAATTTCTAATATCATAGAATGAAAAGAATGAATCTGTTGATCGATTAACTCATTATTTTATCCACTCTTAGGAGAATTGAATAAGGCTATCGGTTTTTTTTTTCTGAAAATTTTTAGTAACATCTCACATTATATGGAAGTCAACAACAGAATCATTACTTTCTGCGTCTTCTGGACGATCGATTTCTGGGGTAGGTTATATTATTTCGTGTAGTCTCAAATATTTTTCAAGAAAATCTAATAGATTTTTGCGGCAGTGCCAACTAAAAAACTAAAAAAGCATCAGAACAGCTCCAAGAGACTGAGATTATAAGAAATCAGATAGTCGCCAGCAGCAAAAACAAATGAATTAAAAGGAAAAGCTTATCCGCAATAGTTTTTCAGTAAAACTGCATTTAGAAGCAAGAAATATACATCTGCTTTTGAAATTACTGGAAAATCAGATGTGTAAGGTCCCAATGAAGTATAGTGAATAGTGGGTTATCGGGATGGAGAAATACATAATTTGAGAAGTTAGTAAAAGCTCCAGAAGATCCATTTTTTTCACATCAATTTCCACATCACATCAACCACATCCGCTTTGTTCTTTCAAAGAATTAACAGTAAAGGGAACTCTATACTTTCCATAAGGAAAAAAGGACTATAATTTCATTTTCATGTAATTTTAAATGAAAATAAGTACAATGGAGAGTAAACATTTATTGACGTATCCTTCTCCAAATAAATGAACTTAGTTTCTTAAGAGATCCTTACATATATTACTTTCTTAAATCGATTTGATAAAAACTGTAGCATCAAATACAGAAACAGATAAGGCTCTGTTCAACAGATAAAGACAAATCAAGAAGAAAGCACGACATAATTGGAGTTTAAGACTTAAGAGATCAAAATGAGCAAAGCAAATATAAAATAAAAGTTGAAAAATAAAAGCTAATCTTTAAGCAAAAAAAAATTAAGGTAAGGAGCAATTCAGATTTTAGAATGGCATTTTTGCGTACAAATTAAATCCTTCGCAATTTAATTACAGTGACAACAGCTTCACCGGTTGAAATTTCAAAGGAGAGACAGTTGAACGATACAATTATCAGCTCGTCAAATCTAATTCTCTATTTGTTAAATAACTTAAACACTACAGAAAGTGCAATGTTGGATAGGTATCTATGCGAAAAAAATTACGCCTCGCTTAAAGTTATGATTGATCGTAAACGAGCTGAAGTAAGTTAACAATAAAGAAGTCAAGATAATTATTCTTTGAATTACACAGAACACTTTACTCAAGAAGATACTTTAACGGAATTTTGTTTCAATTTACGCCACGACAAAAGCATATTCATCTTATTATTTTTAACAATCTCTCATCAATATCATCACTATGCAGACTTGCAAAGGATTTTAAAAACAATTATTGTTTCTCCGTATCATGCGGATGTAAGCGTCCCAACTCTCCCGTAGCTATTTACATTGTTTTATAAGCTTCTTCTTTAGTTCTAACACAATGCAATATAAAAGTCCAGAATCTTTATAAAGTCAGTCTTTAACTCGAACCAAAAATTGGTTTTACATTTGAATTTGCAGTTGTTTAAAACAAAAGATAAAGCTCTGAAGAGTGTGGTAGATAATGCACAAAAAGCTCCGGGAAATTTTGCTGCCGACATTAATGAACTGACCGCAGCTCTATCACTGAATCTCACGCAAGAACAATTTAAATACGCTGAAGCATATCGGGTAAACCTTTTGATCTCTCATTTTCCCTCTTAAATACCCCAACATTGTTCATACTAAGTTAATGATTTCAATTGCAGAATGCCACCATATATAGCGTTATTTGTGCTTTGTGGAACACGAAAGTTGAACAGGAATTGCCGCAAATCGACCAATACGCCATTCTAGAATACTATAGCGAGAAACTTGCGCAGAAAGAAGCAGAAGAAAATATCTTAATTTGGCTATGGAATATAATCAGGAAGCTATTTGAGTAAGTTTTCACACATATTCATTATACCTAACAAAAAATGTGCCATGTAATAGTAGAACAGTAAATCTTAATAAATTAAATATTAAAATCGTCATAACATGCCAAACGAACCATTTGTTTACCTATAATTCGAGTTCAACTATGTTGCAGCAAACTTTGGCAGTGCTGCACATCTAATAATAGCCCTCTTGATCCCTCTAATCAAATAGAGAACGAAGCTTAAACTTTCACCAACATTTTTCGCTTGGAACTTTCGGAAATATGCATTTCCAACTATTGTTAAACTATTAGTAACCAAGTAAAAAAAAACACGCATGAAGAAAAACTTATCCTTCATTCAGTAGAGAAAACGACAAATTTGAATGCTATGCAAATGAACCTAAATGTGTTCGAGCAGTGTTGGACCGCTGCGGTGAGACGGAATTAGAACACCTGCAGCAGGCCACAGATAACAATGAATCCAAGCTTATTAATGATTTTATCAAAAAAAAATTAGACGACTCAGAAATGTTCGTGGAATATGACAAATGGAATAATGCAAATGATGTGCCCGGAGCTCTCAAAGAAATAATCCACAGTTTGAGCCAAGCACAAAGAAGGTTAATACTTCATAATCAATTTTAAGTACCTATGGGGAAATCAGTTAAATACCATAATATTATAACCACAGTAAGTCACTGCACTTACTTCAAATCCATTTATGTAATAGGAAGAATAATTTTCCGTCTATGCATAAATATGATCCTTATAAAAATACAAATGATTACAGAGCAATGGAAAAGTTAAGAAGACTTGAGCTAATTGATAAAATCAAGGACTTCTATCGCGAAAACATCGAAAAAACAAGTCTACCAAAACAGCAGGTTAACGCACTATTTTTCTGATTACTTTGCCCAGTTCGTTAAAATCAGAGTGTGTTAGAAACAGGAATAAAACTTCAGGAGATTGAACTATTCTTCCGGCGGATGAACACGACTTTTGCTGGATGCTATAAGCCAAATATCAAGAAAACAAAGGAAAGGCAAGTATTTTTTCTAAAACCCCAGAATTCCCACTTAAAATCTTTAGAACAACAACATAAAAGAGGCTTCCCAGATGTTAGTTGTGCCGAACGTTTTTCGGGAGCAAAATTACTCATTTCGGTTTTTTAAGATCTTTTTTTGCTGCAACACTACGTATTTAAAGCATTAATCAATACTCACTTTTTTTTCAGAATAGCTTTCTCATTTTTTAAGAGAAAATTGATTCAAAACTGGTTTTCAGATAAGAAATATAACGGTGAAAACATAACGCTAAAATTCAGACTGTTAATAATACTTACGACAGTACAAAAATATATTCTGCATTTGTTAACATATATATAGTGATTATTAAGGTTGCATAAAGAACTGTCATCAGTGTCTATTTGATTGCAGCCTATTATAAAATCTAATCAAGGAAGAGAAAAAAAATTCCAATTGTAGTAATCAACAAAAATAAAGTCTAAAAAGTGCTAAAGCTTTTTCTCAAACTAGGTTTTGACGACAAAAACACTGGTGTTAAATGTTGTACTGTTCGTCAAATGCTCAAAAAAAAAAATTTTTTTTGCCAGTCATTACAAAAAATCTGCAGAAATAAGTACATGTCTTTCAACATAACACTTGAAAATGAATTATAGCAAATGCTGATAAAGCTTATGTCAGTCCGTAAAAATCATGCAAAAAGGACGAACGACAGTGCTCTTATATATGACTCTTTCTCTCTCTCTATGTATATACAAGACTCTCTAATTATGCATATGTATAATTGCATCGTGTTGATTTTTTTTTTGGAGGTTACAGTTATGCAGGTAATTGTGGGTCACAAGATATAGTCCTTTTCGATCAACAATTTAGTATACTATGAAATATCAGAGATCACTGGCACCATATTTAACCATTAAGAAATCGGAACAAGAATAGCACGAACCCGTAAGAGCAACACCAAATATCCAACATTTCGTTTTTGCATTCGATTTCTCGAGCGTCTTCCGTCTTTGTTCTTCGCTTACGCAACTCGTTTCCTTCTTTTTCGCTGACTTGCCCATTTTAACTGAAATCACTGAATAAATGTGCAAAGTCACCCGAAATCAGTTGACGAGCCAAAAAAGCATCACTTGAAGTCAATCCAAACAATAAACAACGTCAACCAGAATAAACCAACGACTTCTGCAATTCAACTAGTTCTACGCAATTAAGATTTTCATTTCACAACTGTCTCGCGGCCTTGTGAGAAGAGAGCGACATTTTCGTGAAAATTGTGAGTCGAGGGGTAGTTGAACTTAGTGTCGTTGTTGCGTCTTGGTTGGGTATCTCTTGTATAGGTATAGACATGGACCACTGTCGGGCAGACTTCGGATTCATGGACAACGGAAGGAACGAGTGTTTAACTTGGGATAGCAAGAAGTTTCTGCAAGTATCTTCTTCATCACTCTTAAGTCTGTCCAAATTATTTTACGTCCCAAATTAAGTTCTCTCTTTTTTAAGCGTTTAAATTAAAACCAATTGCTTTTCAGTCGATCGATCCAGACCAGGCCATTCTCACAATGTCTCAGAATATCGCTTTTTCACGTGTACAACGCGAGTGCAAAGAAATCATCACTAATAAAGAAGTTTCCATTCATTCAAAATATATGTGCCAATGTTTTTAACCTGAAAACTCCTTCCGTATTATTTCCACATATGGTACAGTAGTTGGAGTAACTGAAGAAAATGACATATGTTTTGAGTGGAACAGTATTTAGAACAAAAAGGATGATCGCAGTTCTTTTGCTGTTTCCGACAGATTCTAGTGAGAATTTTTTGCTTCACAGAAAACTTTGAAGTTCGAACGCATTATACTAAGCTTTTAGCTGGCTGAAACAGGCGTAATGATTGAAATTCGAAATGACTCATTGACAAAAATACGTGGAGAGATACGAGGCCCACCAGATAGTCCATACGAAGGTGGTACTTATGCTTTGGATATCACAATTCCAGACGAATATCCTTTCCAGCCACCTGTAGTGAGTTTTATTTCGTAAGTTGTAAAGCTATTTATATGATTCAAACTCAGTTTCTCTCTTGAAGTAATATAATTGTTCGGTCAGTGACAACAGAAATGGTTGGAGGTGTTCGATCCTATTTCGATCTTCTCTTTCCTAATAAACCATTTAAATACAAGGCTGGTTTTTCTCGTTATACCCATTGATGAATAATGTTTTCGTATCGTGGCTACTTTCAAAAATTTGCTATGAATACGAAAATATTTAATGTGCGCATTTTATTTATCCTTTAATTGTTGAATGAATATCTGGTATTTGTTTGCAGTGCAAGTTTATTACAAAAATTTGGCATCCTAACATCAGCTCGCAGACTGGGACAATTTGCCTTGATATATTAAAAGAGCAATGGTATGTTGTTGGTGCTATCCAAAAAATTTAGCCTTTCTGTGTTTTTTCCCCTATGTTAAATTCGATAAACGAAATTCTTTATAATTAGACGTAGTTTTGTAAACGAATTTTAGAATTAGAAATAGTCTTGTAAACGGCATGCTCACTGAGTGAAGATTTTCCCTATTCTAAACTTTTTTTGTTTCAAATAACTGGTAACTCAAGCTTTTTTCAGGGCCGCTTCTCTAACTTTGCGCACCGTGTTACTGAGTATTCAGGCACTGTTAACTTTACCGGAACCAAATGACCCTCAAGATGCTGTTGTTGCTAGGCAATACATGGACAATGCTCAGCTTTACAAAGTTGGTTAATAATTAATTGTAATACAGAATCATTAATTTATAGATTTGACTTTTTTCGGGTTTGTAAATTGTTAATTTTAGCGAACGGCTCGATTTTGGGCGCAACATTATGCCAAAGCCGAAGGTAAGCGGGATGATGAGTTCTGGAACAAAATCGACAAACTCAAAGATATGGGAGTCAAGCAGGTTAAATTCATAGAAGTTGGAGTAGTCAGGACAAAAAACTGCGAAGTTCAGATTTTCAACCTTTGATTTATTTTTCTGTCTGATTGTAAGTCTTTCAGGAGGACGCTATCTCGGCACTAAGCTGCAACTGGTGGGATTTGTCGAGAGCCACTGATTATGTTTTTGGATAAAATTATGTTTTTTATCGTATATTACATGGTGCAGTTACGCAGGTCATTTTCATCTTTCATCTCAAAAGTGACTATCTTCAATCATATTTTTGTCTGACCATGATCTTTAATCGCGGATTTCGAAGGTAGTTCGGTTTTAGGACATTACAAAGTTTCATGGCGTTTGCATTGTATTCATTCAAACTTTAACTTCAAATTTAGGTCTTATTTTTGTTTTATTTACAGAGTGTCTATGAAGTGTAACTTTTAATAGATTCTTATAAACTATTAAGAAATGAACGGGGTAATTAGACTTAGAATTTAGAGGCTAAGTTTTGGATTCATGTTTGTTGAGCTGATTTTTAGGTGGAACGAAATCGATGGTACTGTCTTCTTGGCAGGGAAAAATTGCTTGGTTTGGATTTTCAAACAAGATAAAACTAACTTTGGTTTTTTTGTCAGTTTCACAACTTTGTATTGTTTTCTAATACTTCATCAAAATCTTTATAAACACTCTTCTGTACTTTTCTTTATATTAAGGCTATCCTTTAGTCTTAAATAGCTTAACGATAATTTTCATGTCGATGCGGGACCTCAGATTTCTATCTCAGTATTCTATGCGCTACTGACATTTTTATCGCATTTCTGTCCCCGGAAATATGTTCCTCTGTGTCGATGAAAACTGTAATTTGATTGCTGTCCATTCCAAAAGTTTCTGCATTGTATTTTTTCAAGCGAGTATCATCTTGCATGGAAGTCTTTCAAATATTGTTCTGATATTTCTATTTAGAGGAACCTTTTTTTTAAACAAATTTTAATTATCAATCGAATTACTGGTGTTTTTATTTATCTCGTTATTGAAATAAGGGGGCATTATGAGAAGGTATTTTTTTTGCTTATTAAAAGTCTGTATTTTTATATTTGAATATTGTCAGAACTCATTAGTATTGGTATTGTTTTCGGAAAGTGATCAGGCTACTTTTGTTATTTTTAGCTACTACTGTTTTCGATTAATATTTTTGTTTCAGCCCAAGTTTTCTGTTTCGTAATGCCACTAGAATCCCTCGACTTGGTTGCCTCGTTTAATTTTATAATTATCTAGCATTTGATGTTTGTGAGCCTCAATTTCATATTGTTAGGATTTAGATATTTCAGCAGTGGTTTATATAAATGTTTTTTCGCTTCTTTTCATTGCCTATATGTTTTTGCATAACTGCATAATAAATACTTCAGTAAAGTGATTTTTGGAAGATTTCTGTTCATCTTTAATGTAGCTCCATGAACTGGAGTTATTTACAATTAAAATGGTTGTTTGTCAAATAAAGAAGTGGAATTGCTGGTCTGAAATTTTTTTAGCATCATTTATGAGTGGTTGATTCATTCGTTACTTTGCTGGTTACTTTTATTTGACGAGCGTTCTTGCGTAGCTCATAAATGCTGTATAGCATACTGAGTTCATATATATGCGTGAAATGTTGGCTAGAGATGTACTTAGTTCTGATTAGTTGTGTTATGACTTATAATGTATGTGAGTTGATACATCGAGCCGTGCAGTTATAATGATCTGCAAAACAATGAATAGGTGTAACTTACATATCGTCAGGTATATGAGTCGATGGTGAAGTTCGCAAAGGCTTATGTACATTAATTTATGTAATATTGGTCTAACCCAGTATACATTTATCTAAATCCTGTTTTACAGATGAGTGACGGTGAGGGTTGTTTGATATCGTCGAAAGATAATGACTTGAAAAAGCCCAAGCCGTGCTGCGCTTGTCCAGAAACTAAAAAGGTTAATTTACATGTGTGGTAGTAGACACTTTTCACTGTATTTGCTTTTATATAGCCTTCAAGTTGATTATAAACAGAGTAAATTAATTGTTAGAACAAAATAAAAAAGTTTGGAATTTACTTGAAGTCAGCAGAAATTTGATTCTGAATGAAAATTTATATGGGTTGATAAAAATCTGTAAAACAAAGGAATCTATGGAATGCAGAAATCAAAGAATGGCATCATGAAATGATATGAAATAATATGGAGTACTTTACGAAATCTATCTAATGCTATCACGATGTTATTAATCAACTTATCATGTTGAATGACTCTTGAGATAGTAAAGTCTGTTAATGGTACTTCTTTAGTTCGGTGATTTTGGTAATTCTAAATTTTCAGGCTAGAGATGAATGTATGATTTTGTTCGGTGAAGAACATTGCGGTGAATTGATAGAAGCTCACAAAAAGTGCATGAGACAGTATGGCTATGAAGTGTAGTTTGTTGTTGTCATTGTCGACTTATGTTTAAGAATCTTTATTTCTTATTTGATCATAATTATTCCGGTCAGAAAAATTATGGAAAATGCATAAATTGTAAAATAGTATTCGCATATATTTGATTCATTCATGTGGTTTTCCACTTTGTCTCTTGAAATTTGTTTATCAGAAAGTAAAGTTTAAACTCTCTAATTTTTTCTTTCAAAATTTGCAGAGAATTGCGAAAATCGTTGTCGCAAAGAATACAAGATACTAAACTTTAATTTCAATTATATAACTGTTGAAGAAATAAATCAAATTCCTTACAGTTCGGTTTACGTCGGTAGTTTTGAACAAATTTTGTGCAAGAAGAAATAGACCATATTCTGTTCTTGGACTTGAGGATGCAAAATTTTAATCTTGTGCAGTTGCAAGTTTACCAACAAGATATTCTTAAGGCCGATATTGCTGTGAAAAACCATATCGAAGGAATTAGGTTAGTCTGTACTAGTAAAATGTATATTCTTGGATTAGTTAAGTTTGAGTGTGTAGTATGAACCTCATATTTTAAGGTAAGCTCGTGCAATGTTTTATATTTTTGTTGACGAAATAAAGCTGAAAAGTTGAGACTAAAGAGATTCTGTTATGCTTCTTATGTGATCCATACAATTCATATTTTGTGCGATATAATATATTTCTGTGTCCCTTTTTGTTAAGGCAGCAAAACTTCATGTCAGAGAAAGAAATAGCCCAATGTACTCGAGACATTAAGGAACAAATGGCCAAACTTGCTCATTTAATTAATGCCTTAGAGAAATTCGCAAACAAGGTAACCTACATTCTGCCTCGCTATATAAAATTCATTTTTATTCATTTATTTTTTTCTGGAATTGTTACCCAATTATATACATATTTAGATAAGTTTTCGAAATGATCGTATCGAATTATTGACTCAAGTGAAAGAACATCGGAATGAATTAGAAAAGAATCGCCAAATGCTTCGTCAAGCAATTTTTGAATTTTTGAAAGTCATGGGTAAGCTTTCCAGAAGACTTTGAGTTCTCATAAAAAGTTTTACACGTTCTATAAATTAGTGTATCTGTGAGGACATGTTATAGAAAAACAGTCGCGCAGCTATTTATTGCAAGGTGGTGATGATTCTCAGGACATTGAATTCAGAAACCGTAGAAGGCGTGCTGAAAACTTGAAAACACAAACTTTGAAAGTACTTTTCAAATACTTTTTTGTCGTTTCGCTTATTAAATTGTAAGGAAATTAATTCCTAAATCTTTCTAAAACAAGCCAGATATGTACAGTTGAATTGCTCAAGTTCGAGAGCCTTAGTCGGACTCATAAAAAATATAGCAAACTTATGAGACTTTTGTTTATACTCTTCTAAGTTAGAAATCTGTTTTATTTTGAGGCAACAGAAAGTCTTGCATCACTGGTGACAAAAATGAGCGATCAGTTGAAGCTATCCGAAGACACAACCTCATCGTTAATCCATTCCTCATTTCTTCTTAAAGACACAGAATCTGAATATTCATCGATAGGCGTTCACATACAAGTGATCACTTTCAACCTTTTAAATTAATGGTGAACTGCTAACGTGAAATATTAAGGGAAGCTGATAGCTTCGATTTTTCTAGGTATTTTTTCATGTATTAGGGCTTGCCGGATTTTGATGATGCTCCTAATTGCAGAGTGGTGGAAAGCTGATATCAAAGTATGGCAGGCGAGAATGCACAGACAAAATTTTGATAACTTTTGCCTTATTTTTATATGTTGTTGTTATATTATATATACTAAGAAAACGAGTACTTTCGATTATTTTTTGAAGTTCTCAGAATAGAAATATTTTCTACAACTGTAATATACTTTTGGTTCCAATGAAGTTGATGCTGAACTATTTCCTTCATGGCTGATGCGCTGCATTGTTGTTGACTTTAATATATATATATATATATTGATATATCTTATGGTGATAAATGTTGAAGAGGAATAAGCCTCTTGTGTCCTTTAGTCAGTTGTGTTGAAGATGGAATAAAAAGAAACCAGAAGGATTTACGAATTAGTGGCATGGGACTTATGTTATTATTCTTTTTTAGATAAGTAATGTATGAAAAACACACAAAAACATTGGAAGCGGCGCGAACAGAGCTTGTTGAATCGCTGCGTAAGAATAAAGCAGAAGATGCGAAGCGGTTGCTACAGAAATACGACACATTAAGATCTGGAAAGGATGATGTAATTTCCCTGATATGATTTAATGTACGCGTGGGAATTTTCTGTGGAGGTGATCTAGCTTAAGCCCGTTACCTCAGATCGACAAGTGAATTAAAACCAGGATTTCAAAAAATCACGTTTCCTAATGCTAATTCATTAAATCATTAAATTATATAAATTATAAAGTTAATGCTAATTCATTAAATTATATGTTATTGACAAGTTGTGTTTAATAAATCTGCTTCTAGTCTGGTCGAGTAGCAATTCATTGGGCAGCGAGTGGCGGTTGTTTAGAGATCGTGCAGTTCTGTATATCACAACAAAAAGATGACGCCATAGCGTTGGATGACGTAAGTCTTGAATCATTAAAGTTAATGTTCCTTTAGCTTTTATCGAATGTCATTATGTTATGAAACAAGCATCTATACAGACATAAAGAAATTGGATCTTGTGGAAATGTGTACAATAATTTCATTCACAAAGAGTTATGTAAAAGATTGTTGCGTACTTATTTTTATTTGCGTTTCACTTGCTGTCACACACACATGCCGTGATGAGAGACCTAAATTTACTAAAAACTACAGATGGGTTGGACACCATTGATGATTGCCTGTTCAGCTGGACGACTAGAAGTGGTTCAATATCTGGTTACTCTTCCCTTGGTGGATGTTAATACTCCAAATAATAATAAACAAACTGCTTTACATTATGCTGCAAGTAAAAATAGACCACAGGTAATATTTGACATGCGGCCGATATATTATTTCAATCGTTCAAAAGGATGTTTTGTTTTGCACAACTTAAGTTATAGGTTTGAATTTGTGATCAATGTTTATATTTGAAATTTAAATATTTGAGATTACTACAATTTTATTGAAAAATGGTGCAAACGTAAATGCACAGGACAATTATCAAGCAACACCACTACATCGAGCCGCTTCTCAAGGTCATGAAAAGGTCAGTGACGTAGTAATGTAAGCATATAGATCAAACTTAATTGAACATGAAGTTCTCTTTCTCATTACAAAGCTTGATGAAATGGTTGCCTTCAGATTGTACCTATTTTGTTGAACGAACCAAGCTTAAGGATTAACCTTACCGATTCTGCTGGTTGTACAGCACTGTAAGTTTGTTAGATACATTAAGGAACTGGAAGATTTTTCCTCTGATTAATTTTAGGTAAGCTGCTTGTGTGTTATTTTTTTTTTGTTTTTCTTTTTGTATTTGAGAACAATTCTTTGTTAGTTCACTCTTTTTCTAACTGACTGGACCAAGAAAGTCTTATCTATATAAATTCTACTTATTCATATATGCAGTTACTCTTTCTAGATCTTCGTTTCTGCACCAAGTGATTTGTACCTCTGCGATAATTGCTCAATACTTTATATGATTGAAAATGTCTTTTCCATATTGTTTAAGTGCCCAAAAATGTTCTTCTGACTCCAGTTTTTTCCAAATTCTATTGTATTTTCTTGTTTGTTTCGACTTTATTAATGCAGATATTGCTTTTATTTACTGCCTAAGTAGAGAGGATATTGTAAGCATCGGAACGAATTATAGGCATTTGGCAGTGGAAGAACAACGAGAAGATATCGCTATATTGTTAGTGGAACACGGTGCTGATTTATATTTCGAAAATAAGGTATACTTTACTTGAAAATATTTCAGTTGTTTTCAAATTAAGCGCTTCTGGAATTGGCTGAATTATCTTCATTGTTGGACGAAATTGTTTTACTCTAGTTTTTTTAGGACTTTGATGAGTTATTCATACTTATATAATTTTGCTGATTAAAAGGATATTTTCTTCGATCATATATTGTTGATTTTTGGTTGGTTCAGTGGCTTTTATTTTTTTTTTTTTTAGGAAAAGGAAACACCTTTAGCTTTGGTGAAAACTAGTGAACTACGAATGAAGTTAAAAGCTGCCGCCGACCGATACTCATCCAAAACTCGTTAATTTTTTGTTAGTGTTATATCAGTTTCCATTTTATTACTTGTTTTCAATGGCAAATTTTTCAAACCTTTTACACGTAAGTTTCGTACCTTCTTTTGTTGCTTCGAAATAAAAAACTTTATATTATTGATTGGAACTAACTCTTTACCGCATGCTCACTCATTCTGAAAAATTAAAATCACTTTAATCGCCAAGACATGATGTCATAATTAAACTGTCTGTAACACGAGCTTTCATTGCCAGTTATCAGATCATTCTATATCTTTTTCTGTAGTCAGATCGTTTACATCTCGCACCGGATTACTCGATGTTAAGTGAAGCACAAAAAATTATCCCACTCAAATTGTGCTAAGCATTCTCGAATATATATAATGTCTGCATTGCCATTGCTTTTTTTTACATAACTGTGAAGTGCATACGTTGAGTTCCCAAATGAATTATGCATATTGAGCATTCTATTCAAAATTAATTTTATGCAAATTATGCAAGAAGCTTTAGAGAAATGTTATGAATAGTATAAAATTATTCGTTCATTGTATATTTCATAAGAAGCAGTTGTAGGTGGCTATCGTAGGGACTCTTTCGTTGCCTGTCTGTTCCTCTCTCTTTCAATTTTTTTTTTCAGTATACTTTTACATTGAAATCTCAATTATTTTAAGTAAACTTATCCTTGCAGGAATGGCTGAGAACACATTCTTAGGCTGTGATATTAAGGTAATGTTTATGTGAATTCTACAACAGATCAATGTTAAAAGAAATCAACATTGAAATCTTTATAGCCTAAATTTGGATATAATATGTTTTATGCATTGGAATACATGATTAAAATATAGAAAAATATAGAAGTATCTCAGCAATACTATTGCAAGCATAACCAACTATTTTTATTCAGAATGCGCATGGTTATAAAACCGTTTCTGTAGTAATCTCCATCATCTGATCTAATCATCTAAGATGTTTAAGCTTCCCAGACTATATTCTATATTGATGTGATGTACTACAAAAAAGGCATAAGAGAAAAGGTAACTAAAACTGGATTATCTCAAAGATATGGATGTACATTGTGGTTTCTGTTACGGTATTTGCTGGAGGTCTGGAAGTATATCACACTGTGCGGAACTACAACAAAACTAATAAAATTATTAACAAAATATTATTTATTGGTATACCATTAATCTTTCTTAATGCAGCTATTCTGGGCTTTATTGCCACATGTTTGGATAACATATGTCTTCTTTGTCCACTTCTAACCATTTTTGTTAGTTTTTTCTTATTTTTATGATCGTACTGAATAATCTCTAATAGTCGCATCTTAATCTCCAAACTTTTCTTAATTCAGAGGGAGAACCTAGAGTTCAATTTACATAAATTTGACTTGGACAATTTTGTATTAAATCATCAACGCCAAATATATCTCTATCGTACTAGAGATCTTGTTCCGAAGAGTCGAGGATGAGAAGTGATGGTAATGCGTGATGGCATGGAATCTAATTCTATGATATAATCTTATGAATACTTCATTTCCTATAATTTAGTCTTCTTAAGAATACTCACAACTTTCAGACAATTTTACTACCACTAATTATTGCATCCAACGTACTCTTCTATATAAATTGCATGTCCCAATCGGAATGTAAAGGTAAGCATATCGATGATATGCAGTTGTGAATCAAACAAAATGATCTCTTAAATCAAGGGAGTTCTTGAATGAATAAAACTGATAAAACAAACAAAAGGGTTCACCGTGACTATTCGGTAATCAATGACTGCACTAAATGACTATCTGCTAATGCCAGATTCATCAGTCTGTATGATCTTTATTTAAATTTGGATAAATGAAATGAAGAGAAGGAAGTTCTTGTCCTTAAATATATATTTCAAGAAAAATTATACTTTTTTTAGGTGATGCAATGAGTATTGCTACTACAACAGTTATCTTTATTGTTAGTGTAATCATTTGCATGTCCACAATGCTAATTGTTTATCGCTATTATCGTCATATAGCGCAATAAATACCAGAAATTTAAATCGCCTGGGGAAACAAAAGAAATTCAAAATAACAATCCTTGAGATGTAAAAAGAACCTCAGAAATTGTTCAAATAATTGTGGACAGTACAACTTGTCATTGGGTTTCTTTACAACTTTTAGGATTAAATTGCATAGCCAAATATTTTTATCGATTCTTTACCATATAATATTTACTATTTCTAATGGCAGCGAAAAATATTGGTTCTAAAACATGCGATATAAGATTTTCAGACTTCGAAGATTCTTCTTTTTATCGTTTTACTACATAAATTTAAAGCATTCTCATCATCGAATTCATCGAAGGTGAAGAGTGCTCTAACTTAACTATCTCAACTTAGACACCTTTTTGATGTCTTATTCGTAATTATAAAACAAAATTAAATGTAGTTAGTTTGTTGTAACTCATGCACTGAAAAGATGGAAAAATAAACTTGGGAGACTTAGTTTTTATGAAGGAAAGTAATGAACATTTTGATTTTTAGTTTTTATGAAAGTAATGTATTTCTGAAACAATATTTCGAGAAATTTTCTAAGCAGAATACAGCATAAAGTGAACGAACAGTTATTGCTGTATTTCTATATTACTGAGTCATCAAATATATTCCACCAACCTCATTATCTTTTTCTAATTTCGATATCGCTATCTTCATCTGAGAGAATTATTTCTTAAGAAGCTGATAGGTCAAGTATTAACTTATATAAAGCTTGACATAAGTTATAAAGCATAAGAATATCATTTCCTTTCATGTCACAATTTATGATTACCTATGATCATCACTACTTTTGTGGGCCAAATTATACTATCACAAGTTGCAAATGAAGGTATTTTCCGCTGTAAACCTTCTTCAGTGATTATTGTTTAACAAAACTGAAATCTTTCGTAATTTATACCTTGTCTGTTTACTGAGTTCGAATGACTAATGGTCAGTGAAGACTATTTCATCAGAAAGTAGATGTTTCGAGCCAAATGTAAAGTCAATTTTATTAGAAATCCTTCAACTAACGCCAGTAATCGCTTATTGCATTTTAATGATCACCATGAGTGTTCAGTTTTAAATAAGATGTATATATAAAATATAACTAACTGAAGTACTTAAAGGATTTAAATTCACATCTGCATTATTTGCAAAATTTTTTTACAACTGCGCAGATGGTAGCATACTGCAGATGCGCAGCTAATTATATTTAAATCCAATTACTGCACAAATTGAAGGAACTTGTCGTCTTCTTCCTGATAACGAAATGAAATTATTGCGTAGCGCAATTAATTATGATTAACCTTACTTCTTTATTTCTGCTTCCTCTCTTGCATACTTAAAACTTATAATGCAGGGATTTTAAATGATCTTTGACCTTCCACTTTCTTCTTTTTCTTGAATGATTCAATCGAATGATTCGAATTGTTTTTAATTTCCATAACAAAGTTATGATTTGAGATAGCAATAGTAGATGACGCGAATTTTTTTTTTTTACTGACTAATTTGATCGACGATTAGAATATAAAAAGACAGAGAAAGACGGATTTATGCGAAGATGTCGAGCATTTAATTTACGTATTTTTTAATGTGAAACGTATGTGGTGACTGTGCTAGGTGATTACTCCAATAGTTAAGTTACTATTAGATAAACTTGGGATATACAGAAATGAATTAGTTTTGTGAAAACTCTGTACACAAAATTTATTTGGTCATAAGGGGCGTTATCATCATTAGATGTGCCACCAAACGCAGCGATGATGACAGTTATGCATTGCTGTCCTCATCGTACCACTGCTGTTCGAGTGATTGCTTCGTTATGATTTTCGCTAGGACTCAGAATCGAACCTAATTTCGTTCATTTTGGATTGAGAGCTTATTTTCTTAGAAATAAAGAAGGAAATTACTTTATATTTATAATAAATTTCAAAATCATTAAGAAAAAGAAACATTTGGAATAAAATGAAGGTCTAGAAATCCTTGTACCATTCTGTCTTGTCTATTCCGTTTTTTTTTGATTGGATTTTGCTTGTTATATAATTGATCTAATATCTTAATAACTTTATCAACTTTATCAGTATTAACTTTTTTTGACTTAGCACATATGTCAATGCAACATGAATCACTGATTTTACGTGAATTATCATTTTTTGGGATATTTTCACTATGTATACATATCATTATTGATACGAAATGTAATAGGTTGAATAGCAATTAGCCCAATGAATATGCTATGGTTGACCTCTTCTAGACTTGATGAATGAGTTCCCAAATGGAGGAAGCTAATTTCCCATGTCTCTTCACATGTGCGAGAGCACATATGTAGGTAAATTGTTGATTTTGTGATATTGCTTGAAGAAAAATCGATACACTTCGTCCTTTCACTTTCAGTTTTGGGTTAATTTTTGTTTTCCAGCTTTCCGAAAGAAATTTAAATCTCTAAAATATTTGAATATATCCTACTATTCGAGTTTTTTGCGTTTTATCAAATTCCTACCTTCATACATTAAATTCTAGAGATTTTCCAAAATTTCATCTTTAATGGCAAGATTCATCAGAGCTGTTATCGGAAGTGAACAAACATAATTCCTATTACTACCATCCAAAAGGCCAGAAGTGAAGGACATTAGCTTTTGTCGTCGCAGAGCTTTTTCTGTACTCATCGTCAATTGGCATTCCTACCTTCATACATTATTTTTCCTATTCGCTCACCACTGTTTACACCACTGTACTTCAAATGTTTCTATTCCCATTATGATTTTAGTTACTACATTTCTTGCTATATTCTTCTGTTTACAAGGTATTAATTTTTGCCATTTCGCTTATCTTTTTTTTCTGTTTGGAAAATCCCACATATCCCACAAAATAAGACATCAGCTATGTAAATAAGTATAGTAATGTGTAGTAATATTGAATATTGGTCTTTACAAAATACAGATATAATTTGGTTAAAAAAAAATCACATATATGTCATTCCTATAAATTTATATAATTAGTTCTGTCATAATGGATTCTGTTTCTTTAGAAAAATTCTAGTAATAAACTTCTGCTGAGTTTTTGATGTCCTTGAACTAATTAGAATAAATATTTAAAAACTAGTTCGAACAAATGCAATAAAAAAAGCATTTTTGTTCGAAGAAGGAAGTTTTAAGTTAAGAACTTATTTAGGAATAGGTTCGGTCTTTTTTAGTATATGGATTAGCAGCGCAATAATTCATGATTATTCATTAAGTATAACAAATTAATACAATCGAGAAGAATCTATTAAAGATTTAATGTCAAAGAAAGAGTATCAATAAATGTTTTTTTTCGCCCCAAAATAGCGGCTTTTCAATTTTTGACATATGTTTTTGAAGAAGGTGTTAAGCTCTTTTCGGGCATATTGCTTATTCAATATCCTTCATATCACTTCTCTAAAGTACTTATTTTTTATACCAAAGTCTAGGTCATCTCCTCGAATAACAAAATATCATCAGATGTAAAATCACTAGATGTAAAGTTGACGTTTTCCATCTGTTTTTGGGAATCAAAATATCATGTATTAAATTAGGAAATTGGCCAGACGAACAATAGGAAAAATTAATTGCAAGTAGATAAAACTTAGTTTTCTTTTCATGTACAAAAACACAACTAAAGAAAGTCGTTTGTACCATTAATTTCAAGATAACGAGAGAGAGAAATTTACATAAGAAAAAATTAAATTCGCTTGTCTAAACTTCTTTCAAGAATTTGTTTCAAAGGAAAGTAAATTAGCATTATAATTAATTGATAACTGACTATTATAAATAGCTATTTGTGAACATATATGTATGTTCTCAGTTCATAAATTTAAATTCAAATCAGAATAATTGAGATAGATTTCTCTCATACTAATCTTTTTTTAAACAAGCAGACAAACAAACAAAAAAGGAGAACAGAGTACTTGTTTAATTTGTTATCTATTTTATTGATGCGTACCGTGAAATTCAGTGGTTTGCTTATTTTTCTTTCATTATGTGTTGGCCATTAGATGTCAGATGTTATCACTAATGGCTATTTAGTGTAGTTATAGAACTAAAGAACTTTGTGATAATATAGTATTAGTTATGGAATTTGAAATTTGAGTGAATTGGCTATTTCTAATATAGCTTATAAGGCTAAGCAATGAATTCTACTATTTGTGATAACCAGTCAAATTATATTGGCGCTGTCTTGAAAAAACCGCTTTTTTTTCTAATCGAAGACAGAAACTATCGATTGGTAAGGGATGCCAAATTATTTCACACAAATTCACTTCACTTTTAGTATAGTCAATTGATAATTTGTTTGGAAAAGGCGACAAGCTTCTCCTGCTAAAACTTTCCAAAATTTTCAGATTATGAAAGAGTGATGAGAAATGGTAAAATGATTATGCGTTATTGAAAGTTTGAGAATCCAGTTTCCTTGCTATATTTGTTGGCGGAATTTTATGAAACGAAGTGTATTAGGATGTTTACCAAAGCCATCTATCTTCATCAATACACTACTGATAGTAATGCTAACCATTTAACGTTACTAATACTATTGTATATATCAAGTGATAATTGAAGTATTAGTTATTGCATTTCGAAGTCAGTCATATTTCAACATTTATGCACTTTCACATGGATTGAATGATATCCACAAAACTTAGTTTTAATGAATGTTTCAGAAAGCAATATATTTTACGTCCTTTTTGCTAACCACCTGGCTGTATTATTGCGGACTCACACCACCATGTCAATTAATTAAGATCAGTTAAAGATTAGCTGTTGACACTTATTCGTCTATTCAGCTACACTCCATAGAGAAAAGGGGTGGATGATTTGGTGCAATTAATATACATGTAATCAGAATCAGAGAACGATTTTGAATCGTTTGATTTTAATATCTCCTCTATTTATAATTAACGTTTGAGAAATTAAAAATAAAACTTTTTAGGGAATTCTAATATTTTATTATTTATAGCAAGTTATCATATTTAGCCTTTCATGTTTTCAAATTCTATTCAGATTAAATTCAAATTCAATCTCAGAATGGTTTAAAGTTTTAAAATGTATCACAATCCAGCATGTGTAAAAATATCACATTTGAATTGGTCTAAGCAATATAAATTTAATTATTTGAACCATCCAGATAGTTTACTTTCAGACCAATTTGCTTTGCATTGGTCTGTCTTAACATCCAAAAAAGTGATGGCTAGCATTGCATGAATGACTATTGACCCTTATCCTATTGTAAAATATCAGAGATACTAGTTCATACAAAACTCATTTTTTTTTTTCGAAGCGATCTGTGATAATTGAAAATATTATTTATTGAATCAGAGGATCGTTTTTATTCTTTTATGTTTGGTCGGGAATAAATTCTTTATTCGATCATCTTTCTCTGATGATTGATTTGATTTCCTTTTAAGTGGCCTGATGATTACTCTTCTGCATTTCAGCTCATGCAGTCAAAATGACAGTGTCTGATTTGACAAAATAAATCTCTTAGCCAAAACAGCCATAGCAATAACAAACCACTCCCTCTCATAATCGACTCCCTTCTCTCTTTTTTGTGGCCCAGTTCTTTGAAAATATATAATTTATTAGACTGGAAAGAGGGGAAAGGATATTGTTAAATCTCATTAAAAACATTCGCTTAGCATATAGACGTATCCTAATTCTTACCAGAATTAAATGATGCTATGAAATGTGTAATGAAATCACGCAAGGAAATGGACTGCTTCAGTAAAACTGAACGGATTACCTCACTACTGTTTAAAAAAAACCATTTCGATGACAAAATAAAAGTCTTCACATTATTGATTTATCGTTGGAAATACGGACTGAGCATCCGATCTTCCTGAATACTTAGCAATAGCAGTTTTGCGCCTCCTCTTTTCTTAGAAAGAAGTTTTGAAAATAAGAAGTGGAGAAATTGACAAATCGATATAAACAGTAACCTCCAATACTTTATAGACAAAAAAAATTCTTAACTGCTTTTTTTGAGCCGGAAATTACGAGAGAAGGAAAACGAAAAGTGGAAAAGGAGAGAACAATACATGAAGAAAAATAAATGAAAAACTGAAAAAAGCTTTTCCTAAAGAATATTTCATTATACAAATTTCGAATTTGTACCAAAACTTTCCGCAATGTTTTTCATTCAAAATCTATATAAATGATAAATATTTCCCTTGGAGTGATTTTAAAATTCGAAAAGAAAACTTTGAAGACTTTTTCTCCCGCTGTTATTTTTTATTTTCAGTCGACTGGAACTCAGTTGGCATGCAATAAAAATTAGTCAAAGGAACATTCCGGACATTTTCTGGATGCCTATGCATCTTTCTTGTGATGATGATAAATCATTTCTAGATATGAACAGTTTTTCCCAACCAGAAAAATAAATGAACTTCAATTTGTAGTATATTGAAGTATTTCATGAATAGTGGGTATACTTAAACTATGAATGAATATTTTTTTTAGACATTCAATCTCTAACAACACAAGAGAAGAAATACCGGGAATGCTCACTGATGGAGCGATCCAACGAAGGATCTACCAACAAACAGCAAAAGATTGTTCAAGTATCGCTGCATGAACCCGCTTACCTTCACTGCACAATACCACATCTCAAGCAAAATATTGTCAGTAAAAAAGTTATCTATCTATCTATCTATCTATCTATCTATCTATCTATCTATCTATCTATCTATCTATCTATCTATCTATCTATCTATCTATCTATCTATCTATCTATCTATCTATCTATCTATCTATCTATCTATCTATCTATCTATCTATCTATCTATCTATCTATCTATCTATCTATCTATCTATCTATCTATCTATCTATCTATCTATCTATCTATCTATCTATCTATCTATCTATCTATCTATCTATCTATCTATCTATCTATCTATCTATCTATCTATCTATCTATCTATCTATCTATCTATCTATCTATCTATCTATCTATCTATCTATCTATCTATCTATCTATCTATCTATCTATCTATCTATCTATCTATCTATCTATCTATCTATCTATCTATCTATCTATCTATCTATCTATCTATCTATCTATCTATCTATCTAATCTATCTATCTATCTATCTATCTATCTATCTATCTATCTATCTATCTATCTATCTATCTATCTATCTATCTATCTATCTATCTATCTATCTATCTATCTATCTATCTATCTATCTATCTATCTATCTATCTAATCTATCTATCTATCTATATCTATCTATCTATCTATCTATCTATCTATCTATCTATCTATCTATCTATCTATCTATCTATCTATCTATCTATCTATCTATCTATCTATCTATCTATCTATCTATCTATCTATCTATCTATCTATCTATCTATCTATCTATCTATCTATCTATCTATCTATCTATCTATCTATCTATCTATCTATCTATCTATCTATCTATCTATCTATCTATCTATCTATCTATCTATCCATCTATCTATCTATCTATCTATCTATCTATCTATCTATCTATCTATCTATCTATCTATCTATCTATCTATCTATCTATCTATCTATCTATCTATCTATCTATCTATCTATCTATCTATCTATCTATCTATCTATCTATCTATCTATCTATCTATCTATCTATCTATCTATCTATCTATCTATCTATCTATCTATCTATCTATCTATCTATCTATCTATCTATCTATCTATCTATCTATCTATCTATCTATCTATCTATCTATCTATCTATCTATCTATCTATCTATCTATCTATCTATCTATCTATCTATCTATCTATCTATCTATCTATCTATCTATCTATCTATCTATCTATCTATCTATCTATCTATCTATCTATCTATCTATCTATCTATCTATCTATCTATCTATCTATCTATCTATCTATCTATCTATCTATCTATCTATCTATCTATCTATCTATATCTATCTATCTATCTATCTATCTATCTATCTATCTATCTATCTATCTATCTATCTATCTATCTATCTATCTATCTATCTATCTATCTATCTATCTATCTATCTATCTATCTATCTATCTATCTATCTATCTATCTATCTATCTATCTATCTATCTATCTATCTATCTATCTATCTATCTATCTATCTATCTATCTATCTATCTATCTATCTATCTATCTATCTATCTATCTATCTATCTATCTATCTATCTATCTATCTATCTATCTATCTATCTATCTATCTATCTATCTATCTATCTATCTATCTATCTATCTATCTATCTATCTATCTATCTATCTATCTATCTATCTATCTATCTATCTATCTATCTATCTATCTATCTATCTATCTATCTATCTATCTATCTATCTATCTATCTATCTATCTATCTATCTATCTATCTATCTATCTATCTATCTATCTATCCATCTATCTATCTATCTATCTATCTATCTATCTATCTATCTATCTATCTATCTATCTATCTATCTATCTATCTATCTATCTATCTATCTATCTATCTATCTATCTATCTATCTATCTATCTATCTATATCTATCTATCTATCTATCTATCTATCTATCTATATCTATCTATCTATCTATCTATCTATCTATCTATCTATCTATCTATCTATCTATCTATCTATCTATCTATCTATCTATCTATCTATCTATCTATCTATCTATCTATCTATCTATCTATCTATCTATCTATATCTATCTATCTATCTATCTATCTATCTATCTATCTATCTATCTATCTATCTATCTATCTATCTATCTATCTATCTATCTATCTATCTATCTATCTATCTATCTATCTATCTATCTATCTATCTATCTATCTATCTATCTATCTATCTATCTATCTATCTATCTATCTATCTATCTATCTATCTATCTATATCTATCTATCTATCTATCTATATCTATCTATCTATCTATCTATCTATCTATCTATCTATCTATCTATCTATCTATCTATCTATCTATCTATCTATCTATCTATCTATCTATCTATCTATCTATCTATCTATCTATCTATCTATCTATCTATCTATCTATCTATCTATCTATCTATCTATCTATCTATCTATCTATCTATCTATCTATCTATCTATCTATCTATCTATCTATCTATCTATCTATCTATCTATCTATCTATCTATCTATCTATCTATCTATATCTATCTATCTATCTATCTATCTATCTATCTATCTATCTATCTATCTATCTATCTATCTATCTATCTATCTATCTATCTATCTATCTATCTATCTATCTATCTATCTATCTATCTATCTATCTATCTATCTATCTATCTATCTATCTATCTATCTATCTATCTATCTATCTATCTATCTATCTATCTATCTATCTATCTATCTATCTATCTATCTATCTATATCTATCTATCTATCTATCTATCTATCTATCTATCTATCTATCTATCTATCTATCTATCTATCTATCTATCTATCTATCTATCTATCTATCTATCTATCTATCTATCTATCTATCTATCTATCTATCTATCTATCTATCTATCTATCTATCTATCTATCTATCTATCTATCTATCTATCTATCTATCTATCTATCTATCTATCTATCTATCTATCTATCTATCTATCTATCTATCTATCTATCTATCTATCTATCTATCTATATCTATCTATCTATCTATCTATCTATCTATCTATCTATCTATCTATCTATCTATCTATCTATCTATCTATCTATCTATCTATCTATCTATCTATCTATCTATCTATCTATCTATCTATCTATCTATCTATCTATCTATCTATCTATCTATCTATCTATCTATCTATCTATCTATCTATCTATCTATCTATCTATCTATCTATCTATCTATCTATCTATCTATCTATCTATCTATCTATCTATCTATCTATCTATCTATCTATCTATCTATCTATCTATCTATCTATCTATCTATCTATCTATCTATCTATCTATCTATCTATCTATCTATCTATCTATCTATCTATCTATCTATCTATCTATCTATCTATCTATCTATCTATCTATCTATCTATCTATCTATCTATCTATCTATCTATCTATCTATCTATCTATCTATCTATCTATCTATCTATCTATCTATCTATCTATCTATCTATCTATCTATCTATCTATCTATCTATCTATCTATCTATCTATCTATCTATCTATCTATCTATCTATCTATCTATCTATCTATCTATCTATCTATCTATCTATCTATCTATCTATCTATCTATCTATCTATCTATCTATCTATCTATCTATCTATCTATCTATCTATCTATCTATCTATCTATCTATCTATCTATCTATCTATCTATCTATCTATCTATCTATCTATCTATCTATCTATCTATCTATCTATCTATCTATCTATCTATCTATCTATCTATCTATCTATATCTATCTATCTATCTATCTATCTATCTATCTATCTATCTATCTATCTATCTATCTATCTATCTATATCTATCTATCTATCTATCTATCTATCTATCTATCTATCTATCTATCTATCTATCTATCTATCTATATCTATCTATCTATCTATCTATCTATCTATCTATCTATCTATCTATCTATCTATCTATCTATCTATCTATCTATCTATCTATCTATCTATCTATCTATCTATCTATCTATCTATCTATCTATCTATCTATCTATCTATCTATCTATCTATCTATCTATCTATCTATCTATCTATCTATCTATCTATCTATCTATCTATCTATCTATCTATCTATCTATCTATCTATCTATCTATCTATCTATCTATCTATCTATCTATCTATCTATCTATCTATCTATCTATCTATCTATCTATCTATCTATCTATCTATCTATCTATCTATCTATCTATCTATCTAATCTATCTATCTATCTATCTATCTATCTATCTATCTATCTATCTATCTATCTATCTATCTATCTATCTATCTATCTATCTATCTATCTATCTATCTATCTATCTATCTATCTATCTATCTATCTATCTATCTATCTATCTATCTATCTATCTATCTATCTATCTATCTATCTATCTATCTATCTATCTATCTATCTATCTATCTATCTATCTATCTATCTATCTATCTATCTATCTATCTATCTATCTATCTATCTATCTATCTATCTATCTATCTATCTATCTATCTATCTATCTATCTATCTATCTATCTATCTATCTATCTATCTATCTATCTATCTATCTATCTATCTATCTATCTATCTATCTATCTATCTATCTATCTATCTATCTATCTATCTATCTATCTATCTATCTATCTATCTATCTATCTATCTATCTATCTATCTATCTATCTATCTATCTATCTATCTATCTATCTATCTATCTATCTATCTATCTATCTATCTATCTATCTATCTATCTATCTATCTATCTATCTATCTATCTATCTATCTATCTATCTATCTATCTATCTATCTATCTATCTATCTATCTATCTATCTATCTATCTATCTATCTATCTATCTATCTATCTATCTATCTATCTATCTATCTATCTATCTATCTATCTATCTATCTATCTATCTATCTATCTATCTATCTATCTATCTATCTATCTATCTATCTATCTATCTATCTATCTATCTATCTATCTATCTATCTATCTATCTATCTATCTATCTATCTATCTATCTATCTATCTAATCTATCACCATTATAAGTTTTTCATTTATTTAGAATGATTACCTGGCTTGAACATATCGAATAAGGAAACTTGTAGCATCTTTTTTTTTAATTAAATCGCTTTCTTTTATTAATCATTTCAGGTAGCCTGGACACGTTTACGTGACGAAGCTTTGTTGACTGCTGGCGAGCAATCATTTACTAGTGATTCTAGATTTCAAATATTGCTGGAACCATCCAAAGTTGACTGGGTATTAATTATTAGGTAAATTTGATCATGCTATACATTTAAATGCAATCTGCCAATTTAAAAGCAATTACGTCATTTGTTATGTCCTTCAGGCGCATATTCATAAATGAATTTCTGAATTCTTAACTTAATCAGGAAGTTCATCTACTAAAGCTTAATGATAATATGACAATTAAATCTTAGTATAACAGCATACTTGTAGTAGATTACACCGATTTTATAACAAATCGCTTAAGGTCCCTTCTTATTTTTTTTTCTCAAGATTTTTTATAAGCTTATTTAAAAACGCTATATTGTGTGTATATATATCCATCCGGTATTGTTTTCCAATGAAAAATTGCTTACTTTCATTTCCGTATTCGCCAACTTGATATTTTCAGACGAGCAGAAAGGTCAGATTCCGGTTGTTATTTATGTGAAGTGAATACCGAACCACGAAGTACTGTTTATGCCGTATATTTAAATGTTATCGGTAAGTCTTACAAATTAAAAAAAAATTGATCCTGTATCTGGAAGTAAGAAAGCAGTAGCCAGTTTGAAATATTTTTAATGACTGATATTAAAAGTATGAGGGGTATAAATAATCGTATTATCTATACAATATGAATTTAAAGAAATATCTCATAGCTTTTCTGGCTCTTCCTAACAATGATAGTTATGTTTTAAAATGATACTCTTAGTTTTTCATTCCTAGAATCAGTGAAGCCTTCAAGTCTAAATTTTATTTTTTGAATCTTCCGACATTCGCTGCATTTGTTTTTGTGTTTTTCAGAAACACGCAATCTCAAAGTACCATCTTCAGCAACAAGTAATTAATTTCGATATATTTTTTGAAAAAAAAAAAAAAGATGAAAAATGAAAACTTGATGTTTATTCAAAATTAATGAAATCTGATTTTGAATAGAACGTTATTAAAGTATATTAAATTTTTGAGGATTGGATAATACATTTTAAAACCTAAAAAAAATATTCAATTTATCAGAAATTTGCTTATTTTTAATTAAGTGCTTAAATTGTTTTTCTCTTTCAAGTTTTCATTTCCAATTTTTAGAACGCACAATAAATTTGATGGCCAATATGATTGGGAGTGAAGTGCTCCTGAATTGCACAGTAACGATCGGTAGTGAAGCAAATAGTGTAAGTGGTGAAGTGGAATGGTGGAGAGATGGACAACCAATTGATTTTAAAAATAGTAAAAGTTAGCATTAACAATTTGGATTTGATAAAAGTTTAATGAAACCAGACTACTAAAGTTTCATTATGTGTTGTCCTGACACTTACCGATCTTTACGTGAACCAAGCCATCTATGTCTGAACACTCCAAAGAAGTATCGTTTATCTATTCGGTACTTAGGATAAGATCATTTTAAAATAGAAAAAAATTTTAAAGAAAATGACTAAATAATCTCTTCATTATCATAATACCGAATCGAAATGAACATTTTTCAGAATACATATCAAAAGTGAAACGAGACAGTAAAACGATCGTTTATACGTTACGAATTCTTAGCGCCTCAAGTGAAGATGATGGAAGTTATTCATGCAAAACGGTGGATGCACCAGAATCAACTCATATGCTACACGTCAATACAAGTAACTTCTGCGTGAAGTTTCGAACCTGTTCATCTTATTTTATTTATTTCTCGGTTACGATTAAGATGCTATCATATCTTTCGGACTATTCCATTCTGAATACGATGGGCTAAGATCTAGAATTTCCCTCGTTATCTACATCAGTTTCTTTTATCCAAATACAATCTATTTATTTTATTTCATATCATTAAAATTATTCTCCCACTCGTTGCTTCATCAATTTCTATTTTTGAGATAACGATTTTCCATTCTTCAGCCGTTCTGAAACAAATTAAATTGCATTGCAATCAATTTATAGTTAGCCTAAATTCTTAAGCAGATTTTATCATATACTCGTGAAGATTATCTCAAGAAATAACTTATCTTTTGAGAAATATGAAAAGTAAGAGTAGCAAATAGTATTTTATAATTCGGTTCTGTTCTGAAGATTAGTTTTTTTATACTATAAAAAATCGAATAGAAAACTTATGAACAGAAAAACTCATATTTATCGCATAATACAACCTTTGGTGTTAAAATTTTATTTTCATTGCTGAAATACAATATTTTCACAATATTATTTCCAGATCTGGCTCTACGCAACGGTAGTTATACAATCCAGAGGATATCATGGCCTTTATTTACATTGATTTTTCTCCTCATTTTGCCTCATTTGAACTTTTCCAATGTTTGTATAAGCAACAAGTGCAAAAAGTATCCAACTTTTCAAATTATGAAATGACAAGTAATTGATTTCATTAATTGACAGTGCAGAAATGCTCTCAAGTTGTATATTATGTGATACCTGAATTGTCCATATTTTTGTGAAACAAACAAATAAATCACAATCAGTTATCATGGAGCAATTACAACTAGACGAAATAATTCATTACCACTGTAATATTTAATTTTCATAGATGACAACTCACGTAGTTGGAAGTTTCTGTTCTTCAATAATCATCAGTTATTTCACATCTTCCCATGCTTTTACGATATTTGGAGAACACTTTCCTGAATGAAAAGAGTGATGTAAAAGGAAAGAAAGGAGAGAGAGAAATCAGTTTCTACCAATAAACTATTTCTTTTTTTTATTTGATCAATTTCTGGTCAAGTATTTTAAATGAAGAAATCATTTGTTCTCTTTTGACCGAAAAGGACGTTTTTTGCTCAACCGCTGCTCAAACAGTCATGGATTGTTTAAAATTGTAGTTTGAAGTCCCTTCACCAGGTGGAATAAATGAAGATAGGTAATGAGAAAAGCTTTTAGAAGCTTTTTAGAAAGTTCTGAAGGATTCATAAGAGTTTGAGTGATCAAAGAGAATCGAAAGGTCAATAGATTATCTTACTCCGGCCTTAGTCAGTAAGTCTAACGAATTCTGTTTTTTCTTTTTGAAGTAGAAACATTTCTTTTTCAACAGAAGTAAGAATTCTCATTATTATATCAAGATTTCGTCTTTCTGAAAGGAGAAAAAATAAAAGCATTTGAATGAATTTTTGAAATCAAAGATGAAATTACGAGACTCATAAGAGAAGTTGGGTTCAAAAACAAATTTATAGAATCCAATCAGTCCGATGATTACAGTTACAGCGATCTTTCACAACACCATTACTACAACATTACCGCGAGCGCCACCATTTTTGCCATCATTCGAAATGTTATAATTACTTGTCTATAGATGCTCCAAACAGACAAAGCAAACCTTTGCTGGATATTCCGAAGTGTCGGAGTGTTATCCAGGAACGATCATTTTTCTCATCGTATATTCTATAAGAATGAAACAGATAAATGGGTCGGTCACGAAATAATTTCCATCCATTTACAACTACTGCATTGTCCCTTTTCTTTTTTTTTTATTCTCAATCCTACCAGGTGGTCTTTTTACTGTCTGTTTGATAGTGTATCCGCTGATCTCATCAGGAACATTTCTTATCTCTATGTGCGTCTTCGGCCCATTTTTCTATACACATTGTTGTTTAACCCTACAACTAACTGAATTTCTGCGAAATAGCAATTTTCGGCAGAAGTTACTTCACTAATATGCACAAATATCAAAGGCACATCACACCGAAACTTCTCAACTTAATGTCCAGAACGCACAGAAATGAATTTGTTTCACCTCCAAATGATGGAAAATAGTTTAAAAACAAAATCATTTTTAAACTGTTTTTCAAAGTTTCCAGCTACTTCTTGAAATTTCGAATGCTATTCCTCACTAAATTATTATGCTATCATAATTCTAGTAGTAGTTACTGATCTCGTAAATCAGGGAAAACATTTTCTAAATAGTTTAAATATTTCTTCAATATTTTTAATGCCGGCGGAATAAGCTGCTTGAAAAAATGATATCGTGACCGAATTACACTAACCACATTATTATTACCATTGAATTTCAATTTCAGTAGCATAAATGTTCTATTTGAAAGCTTTCAATTTCATTTCTATTGGCTATATAAAATTCGCAAGCATTAAAAAAGTTATTAAAATTCCTTCTAGAAATAATGATTTTTATGGACAAAAAAGTTAAAGGAATGAAATGGAATTCCACCCAAGCAGCAGTTTTTGAGTAATAATAAGCCATTCTGATCTTTTCGCTTCGAATTTCATCCAATATCACGATAAGTAACCCTGTATCTTTTATATATTTCCTTCAAATATGAAATCTGAGATGTGTGATGCATCGTAAACAGTCCTCGAATTAATTTTCGGAACTTATTATCAGGAGCTGACTTCTACTGCCAGAAAAAATTAGGCACTGAAGCTCCCACTTGATTATCCATTCCCACTTTTCTCCTCCGATATATTTTCCTTTATACCCTCGATAATTCCCTCTGATCCTTTCACATTTTCCACTCACTTCTTATTTAATTGTTGTGTTTTAACGATACTGAAATGACTAATAATTTATTTCATTTTTATTATCTGCTTCAAAAAGAAAAAAGAGCTTGAAGAACGAAAAGAGCTTATCATTTGAGGAATTTCCTTGTTTTATTATAACTATCACTGAAATTATTACTATAATAACTCTCATAATTGTTGTCTAAAACTGCTAATTCTACTTCCATTTTCATCATTTACATTGAGTATTTCTGTCATTGTAGTAATATTATAACTAAACTTCCACTGGCCATTATGCACTTCTTGTCTTTATTCTGTCCATTTTTACCTTAAATGATCACTTTATAAGTTATCATTTTTCATTTCGCATATATTAATTTGGAATCTTTTTCGAACATCATTTTCAAAGAAAGTTTCAGAAAAAAGATGTTACCTCTAATTTATGGTACGGTAATAACATTAGTATTAATCGCTCCGACATTGATCACAGCAATCGATTACGAGGACAACGACCTGGCTAAAGGTAATCAGTCTTCTGAATAGCAATTTCAAAAATATCTAATGCATAATCTTTTGCGATATTGTCAAGTATAAGGTCTATGAGCATAGTGAAGAGCCTATAATGGTGCCTATTACGATGCCTACAGCAATAGTAGTATGATAAAATAGTGTTGCATTGCTCATTACCGCATAAATTAGTCATTAATATTACCTGTACTGCACACCTGTCACTGATTTAATAATGTCATCTGTTTTTTGAAAAATATATCTAATAATTAAATCACTGGGATGCAATCGTTACGTTTACTTAAGAGACATTTCAGTATGTCGACCTTTGGACCGTCAACTGGACTTGTTGTTCATTCTGGATGGTTCCGGTAGTGTTAGTGGAAGCACTTTCGCAACACAAATGGCTATGTTGAATAAGTTTGTTATGAACCGCATGGTATTTAAAAAAGAGTGAAATGTATTTCACTATTAACTTTTTATTACTGGGCTTAAACTTAGATAACTGAGATAGCTACCAATCTCAATACAATTTCAATTTCCCTCTTAAAGAAAACACATTTCAGGATAGTCGATTTGATCGAAATTGGTCCGAAAAATACGCAAATTGCTGTAATGCAATATTCATCATACACACGAGTGGAATTTAATTTTAGTGCCAATCCAGTTGGTTGCTGTTTCAAAGTTTCAAAAACTTCGATGTCAGTCCAAAATATAAAGTGCAGTGGGTTTTAGGAAATTCCGAAGCACCGAAATGAAGCAAATCAAATCAGGGTTCTCAAAATCTGTTATCCCCCGAGATTTTCTCAAGCTATTCACAGTAAAAAAATTATTTAGTAGCCAAAGCAAATGACCCTTTAAATTAAAATTATCCAGGCTATCATGATTAAAATTAAATGAAATCAGGCAAAAATTTTCTAGTATTTAAATTAGATAAATTATTTTGCTTTGCATAGATACATATTATGCATGTCAAATGAAATCTACGGAATGAATCGGATAGTATCTGCTGAAATATTTCCTTCTGAAAATTTTCATTGACAAATGTATGAATTATTTGAAAGCGACATTTGTCAGGACACTGTAAAAAGTTATTGTAATGCCAACAAATAGAATTTTTTGAGAGAAACAAAAAAATGATTCAGAAGATGAGAAGTGGAAGTTATTCATTTTCAAAGCAATCATTGCTAACAATTCACTGTACACTGCCTACTAACAGGTATAGAAGCACCTCATCGAATTAACCTCCTTAGCTAATTTTTATGTGATCAATAATACTCTTTCTTTTATCGATTATTTTTGTTCTACAAATAACGCAACCTTTTCTCATGCCAATAATGTTCTATTTAACTAAATGGGACTACACTGAAGGAAGAAATTGTGGCACTCAAACCTGAATATTTAGAATCTTCAACACTTCTTTGAAAAATCGTTAGAAATCACATTTTTTCGATAAAGTTCACTCCAGATGAAAATACTTGGCTAGCCATGTTTTTACCTTAGATTTTCTCTTTCTTTTCTTCCTTTATAATTCTTTTCTTTTGCTACGACCTTCCAATCCGATACATTTCATACTTAACCCCAATACTTTTTTGTCCCGACATTATGATTAAGTCTCCATCCAATCACTCATGTCCTCTTTTACCTTCATCTCTCCTTTTCGTCCTATCTCTCGTCTCTTTCGTCAAAACCATATTTGACATTTTGGATGCGTTCTTGACTTCTTGTCTAAATATCTTTCTATAAAGAACTATTAGTGTAGTGACAAAAGATTTTTGAAAATTTTTAGCA